CCCTCACCGACGAGATTCCCCCACGTGGAATTTTAAGAGGTTCCCGAAGCAAAAAAAAGATCAATCTCGCACTGACGACTAAGGACCAACCGAGACCGTAGAACCGTAGAGGTTTGCTGCCGCGGCGAGACGTACAAATTTCGGATCTAAGCACGTAAGATTTTATGACTCGTATTAATAGTCGTTATTTGTCCTACGTGAAATATTCAAATCTGAATCTAGAGTTAGATGAAAGTTGAATTATATAATACATTTGCAATCGCGATTCAGCTGAGAAAGTCAGGTCTAACTCTAAATTAAAATCTGAGTATCTTACTTGAAGCAAGATTCAAATAACGACTATTAATACGGATCTATGTGATACGATCTCTCAAAAGTACACACAATCAACCGCATGGGCCAGCATTTTTATCATATGCTATTACGACATATCGCGAGTCTTGAGGAGCTCGGGAGATTAATAACATAAGTGATTTCCTTGCAATTGTAAAATAAGTCTTTTAAACGAAAAACGTAGCGTGAAAGAAGTGCGATTGATTGATGAAGTTTAGACGCACATTCGTTTAGGAAAATTGTCGGGATAATTCTACTGTATTATATTTCTCGACATATGAAGAGGGAACTTCTTAAAACTCACCGACACCACACGAGACGTAAGACGATCGATGTGCCCGGTAGCATCACTCCCGTCTTCTGACACATACATACGAAAACAAGTAAGAATTAAAAAGCTAACAGAGAAAAGGAAAAAAAAAAACGAAGGCAGCATCGAATGCCGTGCATAGTATTTAAGGATAGTTAGTTTAATTTCTCTTAACGTTTAACGTAAGGACGCGCGGCTGCAATTATTATTATGGGTGATCTGTAATAAGAGTGTAAGGGAGGTGCGCGTGTGTACGCGTAACTCCTGTTAGTATTAGCTAGTCAACAACGCTAAGACGTATATAAAAATACTCCGAGAGATCCGGTTGACTTTCTTACACCGTTATCAGACGCGACGAATTTGATAAAACTTCTTTTCTAACGAACTCGAAAGTGAAGTGAGTATTTTTGAGCTGTTTTTACCATTTGGAAATTTACAGTCTTTGGATCACTTGCGACACATGTATACATACACACATACACACATATATATATATATATATATACACACAAGTACGCGTAAGATATTCATTGAATTCATGTCGTATAAATACGACGCATCGCATTTCTCGCTATATGCTGCATTGTATAAGCTATTGGTGTTTTTACCGAAATCCTGTTGTTCCTACTGTTCAACGAGATATCTCGCTATTATTGTAGATATCGCGTTCACGACGTCGATAGCGACTCACACGTTTTCACCTGTTGTATTTGTCCTCTTTATTCTATGATGATAATAATAATAATAATAATAATGATAATAATAATAGTGATTGCTATTATTATTACTTTAAATATTAACTGCAATGCTATGTTAGCTTTAAATGTATCATACTCGAGATCCTCATGTACACGAGCAGCAATATACTTAAATAAAAGTCTCAGAACTTTACGCTCGTTATGCATAACTATTACGCTCGCATTAGTGCAACTGCCGTTTCTTGCAAAAACAATTTATTTAAAGGAATCTTTCGTAACAAATGTAACAAATGACATATCGTGTGTTTTATCTTATAAAAATACGATATAAAAATATCTCTGCGGGAACATACAGGCGACTCTCGAATAATACGGTTAATTGGTTCCGTGTTACTCAAAATCGTATGGAGATTTAGGATTCGTACAATTTTTTATTTTGCTTTATATGCATTGTCTTTTATTGAGTAACTGTGTTATTCGAGAAGTGCTTGCATCTCCGGCGATTTTCTCATTCGCTTTGTTTAAGCGTTTGCAGCGTTCTCTCATTTGCGAGCAAACATGCGTTTACTCGTTCTTAAAGTTTGGCGGGCGTTTCTCCATGAAAGCGCTCATTCCCTCCTTCTGGTCCGCCTAAACATTTATGTTTTTATTTATCATTAATAAGTTTGTTTCTTCTAGCCACTCAGTTCGTCAACATAAACTGTAAGCTTACCGTGGCGAATGTACTATGGAACAATCGTCTCTCGTAATCGAGACCCTGTTGCAAGCTGGTTTCGTACGCTGAAATTCATAAAACGTATATAAGTGCATTGCGCTCCGCGCAAATTTGTCAAAATCACGACGAATCAATGTAATTCATTAAGATAACTTTAGATTACCAGTATTGACAGCCCTCTTGGCTAAGCCGACGATTATCTGTGAATGAGACGAGATTTTCTCGCCCAATTTCACGGCTTCTCCAACGAGTTTGTCGGCTGGAAAGATCTTGCTGACCAAACCTGTAAGATAGAAGTTTGCGCGTTTGAAATTTGACAGAGATATGCGTGCACGTTGATCGAAGAAAATGACCGTGAAGCTTTCGCAAATCACTTGCAGGAAGCTCAATTTTTTAGCAAATTTGACAATAATGGAAAGGAGCTTTATAAAAGAAACTCACCGCTCCTTTCAGCTTCCTCAGCGGTGATCTGATTGCCGGTGAGCACTATCTCCATAGCCTTACTTTTGCCGATATACTTGGGCATCCTCTGACTGCCGCCACCTCCAGGTATCGTGCCGATGATGATTTCCGGCTGACCGAATCTGGCCTTGTCGCCGGCGTAGATGATGTCGCACATCATTGCCAATTCGCAGCCTCCGCCCAACTGCGCGATTGTGAAGGAGATGAAACAAACGTTTTATCATATGACTTTCTAGCGTTCTTCTGCCAGAGCTTTTCTGCTAATAGCAATGCTACTTACGGCGAAACCATTTACAGCGGCGATGACGGGCTTCTTTGTTTTGGCAACAGCGTCCCAGTCACACAGGAAGTTGTTCTTCTCATTGGACGGGTATGTATTGTTGCACATTTCCTTGATGTCAGCACCTAATGGTCATTGTCGTTAAAATAACGCCTATTTATACGCATTTATCTGTGCAATAACACATCTAACATGTGGAATTTTTAGTGTCTAAAAATTTGTTCGATATGAAGAATAATTGTAGTTAACATTATCATTCCATAAGTATTTTTAACTCTGATCTTTAAATAGAAACAGGAAAGAATTATCAGTCTTAATAGGAAATATATCCATCGTCTTAATTTACAACGTCCTGTATATTCTACAACTAATTCTTTAATTCCATTATTTAAAATCCAGAAGATTTTAAATAAGTAAGAAATCTAATGGTTTTGGAACTCTCAAACGTCATTATTTATGGTAATATATATGAGATTATGTAAGATTACAAATTACAAAGATCTGTGTAGAATCAATTTTAATCCTAGTCTTACCAGCAGCAAATGCTTTCTCGCTTCCAGTAATAACGATGGCACCGACAGCAGGGTTTTTATCGAAATTATTCAAGGCATGATACAACTCTTTCATTAATCTCTCGCATAATGCATTTAATGCTTTGGGTCTGTTCAAAGTGATAAGACCTACATTGTTCTTTTCACCTGCAGTCTCGATCTTGATAAACTCAAAATTGTTCGTTTCACCTGTGTGAATAAGAGATTATAGTAGATTTCTCTTTAAAGAAAAAAAAACATTTATTATTGAACTGTACTTTTGATAATACTGCCTTTGAAACTTCTGGTAAGGCTGACTACGTGACCTCGTATGATGTAACACTTATGCGAATCGTTATCGTTACTGTGTGCATATGATAAGTACTTACGTAGTTTTTCAATTAAAATCAAGGTTGTATAATATCGCAGATTGATTTATTCGCACGTATTTAATTGCGTTAATTCACAAAAAATAGTGGCAAGGAACCACTTGTATCAATATTATGTATATAAAAAAAAGTGAATACAAAATTATGACATTGAAAACAAGTTTTCGACTTAGCAACAGCCGGCGACGATGAATAACTATACCGGGTGTGCACGTGATAACAAATTGGATTTCTTTTAAGATTTATACAATCGAATATAAGTAACGCAATGCCTTGAGAAAAGACTTATATTTGTCATACTTACAGGAATAATATCTGATTGCGGGTGCGACAAATTGTTGCGGAAATCGAGCCGCATGTGACACACGCGAGAAAAGAATTTTCGACAGTCGAGTAGCAGACATGTTGAACGCTTTGATATTCTCAGTCAAGTGGCGTCATGGAACTCGTTTTCTCTCGACAGAGACACGACGTGGCAATCTAGCCAACTTAATGATGCAAATGTTTCTCTGATGTTCTGGAGAGAGAGATTTAGAGAATCCTTTATATATTTACATTAAATATTTACTAATTATTATATATTTACTAATTATTATACATTAATAATTTAATAATTATATTTAATAATTACTAATTTAATAATAATTAATAATTTAATAATTATTATATATTTACATTAAATATGTAAATAATTATATTGAATGTGTGTTAAAATATTAAATTAAATTTGATATTTATTAAACTGAGCTCAGACATAATTTAATGACTAGTAATTTTTATTTATTAATTAATCGAGGTCGTCCGCGTGAAGCTAGAGAAAAATTAATATTTTACTATTAAATTATTATCAAGGGAGAAAATGTAAAATTTACATAAAAAATGGGAACATGAAAAAATTGTAAATGAAAAAATTTAATAAAATAATTGTTATCTTGTGTAGAAGCAACTGTATTTTTTCAGAATTTACGTAAAATGTTCTCTCAGTGCTGCCATTGGCATCCAACGTGCCCTGAGGAGAAATAATGTTTGTCTGAAAAATTTCTATCATTTTATCCAACACTCTGTCTATCTTATCTTAGTATAATTTAATATTTTGGAATTTCATGTTCACTTTCGTATCTTTCCCGAATTATTTGATTTGTGATTAAGTTTTCTTCTCTTTCTTATTCCCGATTTTATTTTTTTGCTATAAAGTTCTTCTTTATATTGTTTTAAATTGTACAAATTACAGTTTGTAAATATTACAATATTTTTTACTGGCCTGACAAATTAATATCGATTTGCATGCATTTGTAAAAAAAAGTACTGAAAAGAAACCTCAGTTCCAGATCAATGATCTGCAACCGTGATCGATAAACCATGCGACACTTAGAGAAGAAAAAGAAATAAAAAGACGCTCTTCTGTCGCACGTTACACGGTGAAAGTATTTGATTTGGACGCGAAGGGGGAATTCACGTGAACAGGTAACGGCGGTAAACACATGACTCGGCATCGGACGAACTTGAATTTACCGTCAGTTCACGGTCGTTCGTCCATTCGCCTTCTACGGGATCATGCGTGTAGTCTTGCTCCTCGTGTTCCTGGCGAACGCCAAGCTGAAAGGATGTAGCGCAGGTTTTAAAATTTACAGTCAATTTTATTTACTTGTAATATATATAGATATTTCTTAAATTATATATATATATATATATATATATATATATATATATATATATATATATAATTTATTTTAATTTAAACTTGCTTTAAATTTACTTTAATTACACAAATATTTGTGAATAGCTTAGTTTAATTTATAGACAAATTATGAACGGATAAATACTATCTGAGGAGAGATAACACATCTACAGGGTGCGGCGCCAAAATTCGGACAAATTATATATTTTTTCCAAACATATTTTTTATTGCAAAAACGAAAATATTTACAAAATTTTTTTAACCACATTGTTTGTAAGGCCATAAAGAACACATTTACTCAATATATTCCCCGTTTGCTTGAATGACCGCTTCCATTCTCGGTATGAAGCGTGCGCAGGCGCGCTTTAATGTGTCACGGTCCATATCGGTGAATGCTGCTTCAATAGCGGCTCTCAATGATGCGACATTTGGATGTCTGGACTTGTTCGTGACCCTTTCAACTACGCTCCATACATAGAAGTCCAAAGGATTCAAATCTGGGCTGTTGGGAGGCCAGAATTCTTTCGACCAAAAAATGTCGACGTTGTCCGACAACCAATTTTGCACCAAATGACTTGTGTGGGTGGGCGCATCGTCCTGCTGGAAAACATACGGTTTTCCAGACGACACAGTTTCTATCCACGGCTTCACTACATTTGTCAGAACACGCAAATAAACTTCTTTTGTGACATTTTCCCCTTTGTTAAAGAAATGCGGTGGCATGACATCACCCTCACTGGATACAACACCTAGCACATGAACATTCGCCGGAACTTTCGTTCTTGCAACAATAGGGACATCTTCAGGGTCGTGGGCGAGCCAGCGGTCATTCCTTCGATTGATTTTCGCATCCGCAGTAAAAATTTTCTCATCAGAAAAAAACTTGAGTCGTCCGACAGCATTGTTTTTTAAGGAACACAAAAGCAGGTTGCAGCGTTCAACTCGCTTTGTCCTGGCGGCTTCGGAAAGCATTTGTTTCACTTTAATTGTGTAAGACTTGTAGCGGAGGTCCTCCTCGACGATTCGACGCATAGTTTTCTCGCTCACACCAACAACCGACGACAATTTTCGGATCGACTGCCCTGGATCCTCAAAAATCAGCTCCTGAGCCCGTTTAATCATGTCGGGCGTCCTGACAACGCGCTCCTTGGAGTGGGTTTTCCTCGCCGGTGTTGCAAAACCTTTGTTGGACTTCTCCGACTCATTGTACTTTGCGATGATATCATACACAGTCGATCTCGGGTACCCGAAGAACCGAATGATTTCTGTCGCCGAGCGTTCAGCGCGAACACTTTCGATAATCGCGGCTCTTCGGTTATATTCCGCACTTGGTTTCAACATTGCGACTGTTTCGAGGTTATGATGGTTTAGTACATGTATCAAGCTATTTGAACGCTAATCGCGACATCTATCAGTGGTATAGAACGGCGAGAATTTCAAATTGAATTTTGTCCGGATTTTGGCGCCGCACCCTGTAATCTTATATTGATTTGCAGAAGAGATCTGGAAGCAGGATTTGTCCGAGGAGATGCGAATAGGCACTTCCACAGAGGGCTACGATCGCGTGGGACTGCGATGTGGCGCCGATAAGATGACCGTGGAACTGCGAACCACTGAGGACTTTTCAGGAGTAATCTACACACAGGGTAGTTTCCACTCACGAGAACCATCCTGCTTTCTTGATCCGGTTCGTGGTAGAAGTTTCACCATGAACATCCCTTTAAATAAGTGCAATACAGAAAAAGTGAGCAACTTTATATATATGTATAATTTTTTTCGTCATTATTACTCTTTATTTTATTAAGGACTTAGTTTATACTTTATTACGAATTTTATATGTTATAAAAACAATTCTCGTCACGATTAATTTTCAAGCGATTTATCGCCGATGAAACTGAATATGTAATTTGCACACGATATTTTTTAACATCCCAGACAGCACAATCTACTAAAAGATATTTTAAAGATGTTCAAAAGATGTCCTTATTTCTTTTGGACGTCTTTAAGATATCTTTTAGCAGGTTGTACTGTCTGGGATATCGCGCTGTATTTAGTTTTTAAAATTTTTCCCATATTCTTATTTATTAATTGAAATAATAACAGAACTGAAAAGTATTTTAATATGTAAATTATAATATTTTCTAATACACGGTTTTTGAGTAAATTAACATGATTGATCATATTCTTCAATGAATATACACAGTATTTTCTTATAAGCATTTCTTCAGTTTCTGTATATTCGAGAAATTATTCTTAAAAAATAAACTCTAGCTCTATCAGAAAATCTTAAAATTGATAAATATCTACCAATGTAAATGTCTATTTCTAATATATTTTTATATTTTTCTGTTTCGGTAATAGGACGGCGAGAAGTACAACAACATCGTGGTGGTGCAGCACGACGACGACCTGTTGACACCGGGAGACGCTGCTTTTACGTTAGAATGCGACTTCTCGAAGCCGAGAGATCACACGGTGACGGCAGATCTTAATGGGAGCAAGAGAAGGTGAGTACGTTGACTCGTCATCTCGTCTCATTAACTCTACTCGTTTAGAATGCGATGCGAATGCTGATCATTACATGCACGCTTCTATCAATCAATTATTCATGAGCCTAATGAAGATACGATCGCTTTTCTCTAGGTTATTATAAATTGTAATTTACGATTAGTAACGAGCATTTCAACATATCAGCATAACATTTTTGAAGTGTTTACAAATTTCCATAAGTGAAAACTGAAGAAATAAACATGTATACTTTTTCTTTCAAAACACATATATGCAGAGTGTTTGGAAAAGATTGTATCTAGTTGTTTCCAACATTTTACTTTTTACACTGGAAGTTACATTGAGAAAATGCCTTTTAGCTTGCTAGACGGCTCGAGAAAAAATAAGAAGACAAAAAAAGACGCAATGCGACATGAAAAAAAATAACAATCCTTATGATTGATTTTAACACAAGAGAAACTTTTAACTGCAAAATAGGGAAATCTTATACTTGACGGATATACAATGTATTACTGTTTTTTCAGATACACAAGATCCAGTATAGCTCTCATCGATGTCGATCCAGGAAGCGACAGGAATGAAAGGGCCGCATACGTGGAGAGCTACAGCGACCAAGTCGTTTTCATGCCGGACGCCGCGTCTCGTAAGGCAAACGACGAATTGTGAGACGCCAATGTGTGCTAGCTAATAAAGAGATAATCAGCAAAGAGAACAACACGATTCCTCTTCGTTTCGCTGCTCGAACGCAGTCATCAAAACGGCCAAAATCGTCATTCGTGGCACATTTCTCGTCGACGATCGTTGCTCGCGAATTTTTCGGCTAGCACAATCGGTGTCCCTACAAAACGCGGAGGATCGATAATAGCCACGCTCTTCGATAACGTGGCAAACACGTCAAAAACACCTACCCGAATTAATTTTCAGGATAAAACGCGCCGTCGCCTCGGCATTATCTGAGCTAGATCTCGCTAGTGAACCGCCGTCGAGAGATTCCAGTGAGACTGCAACGCACTCCGCACTCTACAGAGATTGTCATTGCCACCGTTCACCACTGTTTTGTTTGTTGTTGTTGTTCATAATATATTATATAATTCGTTGATGAATCTTTCTCTTTATCTCTCATTCCATTAACGTAACGACGAGTGTAACCTTCGGTCATCGCATTTCTATGCACGATTTCTTGCGATCTACTTTTACTCGAATATATTTCAGTATACATATAAGATTCGCCGATAACCTTCCTTCACGACCCGAGTGTGTCGGGAAATTCACATCACCTTTATGTAATGTAATATCATTGACACAATAGTCGAGGAATTTTGGCGATTCTTTTCCTTTTCTCTCAACGATTTGCGAGACTACCAATCTATGCGCGAAGATCGTGATTCGATCTTCGCGCTAGACTGTAAAATCACGATGAGAAAGTCGATTGTCAACAGTATTGGCCGCCAAGTAAATCGCCTTGTTGCTCGATGCATTTAACGTGTTAAAGGTCACGGTGATAATCGTTTCAACCATCATCGAGCGAGCTGCTAATGTCGTCGAATGGCGATCGCACCGAAGCGTGAACGAGTTCGACTACAACTCGATGAGCGGTATTTTCGTACCTTTTATTTAGTAACTGTTATCGAATCGTAACTGATAACTATTAACTGTTTACACTAAATAACGGTTATTGGATTATCTAATTTTTTTGTGTATGAGGAATTTTCCAACTCTTCCGGACTATTGAATAATTTTCAAATTCGTAAGAATAAGAATAATCGTCATTATTTATAATACTTCACCTATCGTATAAAACATATATATTAGCCTACTTTCTATATATACAGGGTGTAAAAAAATTAGACCGACAAACTTTGAGGGGAAATAGAAGACATAAAAACAAACATATTTTATTAATAATGTTTTTCTCTACGACGCTTCGTTTTAATACTACAGGATACAAAATAGGAATTTTATGATTTAAAAAAAAACAAACATATAAGTGGAAAAATTAAATTTATTTCAATTACACATATATATTTTAATCTTCAAAAAACAATGAACAAAAGAACGGAACAAAAATGCGCAATTGATTAGCTCAATTTATAATAAATGTTCAAAAATTCCGCCATTTGCTTCAACACAAAGATGACATCGTCGAAACATTGATGGTCTCACACACTCGAAGACTGCAGGAATATTCTGAACCTGATATGCTGCAGCAGTAATTCGAGCTACCAATTCTGCTTCAATAGGTGTCTCATAAATGAGAGTTTTTATATGCCCCCATAAAAAAAAGTCAAGCGAAGATAAATCTGGTGACCAGGGAGGCCATGCGATAAGACCTCTTCGGCTTATCCAGCGCTCATTAAATCTTTGGTCTAAGTAATTGCGCACAGTAGCACTAAAATGGGCAGGTGCTCCACCGAATTTATAAACATTTATTATAAATTGAGCTATTATAATTGAGCATTTATTATCAATTGCGCATTTTTGTTCCGTTCTTTTGTTCATTGTTTTTTGAAGATTAAAATATATGTGTAATTGAAATAAATTTAATTTTTCCACTTATATATTTGTTTTTTATTAAAATCATAAAATCATAAAATTCCTATTTTGTACTCTGTAGTATTAAAACAGTAGTATTAAAGCGTCGTAGAGAAAAACATTATTAACAAAATATGTTTGTTTTTTTTATGTCCTCTATTCCCCCTCAAAGTTTGTCGGTCTAATTTTTTTACACCTTGTATATATGATGTTATTTATTGAAAATCGAATTTAACTACTTGCCGATCCAAATATTTAGGGAACTGAAATTTTCTTTAACTATACGATTAAAAAATTAGATATTCATCAATTTAATAAAATTTGAAGTAAATAGTTATTGAATAACTAGTTATTTATAAACAACGGTACCCGAATAACAGTTACTAAAAAATAACTATTTAGATCATCACTACTCAATGATAATGCATTCTCTCGTGTCTTGGAGCCGAGTTGGCAAGAGATGGATACATGCCTGAGACAATTAAGGAATCCCTTTTAAGGAATTTTACATACAACTGCCCCACTCTTCTTATCCCCTTCTTTCTCCCATCTTCTTTTACTTCTTCTTTATCTTCCTCTCTCCAGACACTTACAATGCACGACTGAAGTTCCCGTACGCGGTTGTTGTACGCCACGTGAATGAATCTAATGAACGGGTGGAATCGTCTGGAAGCCGAGGTGCTAGCAATCCGATACGGTATCACGCATATCCGATTGACGGCAAGATCGAATTATAATTGGATTTTATGTTACGGAAGATCTTCTAGCGGACTTAATTAGACTTAATTTGAACGGAGGAATAATTGATGTACAATAGCTATGAAAAAGTGTGTTCTCTTATCAGCACGCGCGCTAGAGAGAAATCTTCTTTACGCTTAATAATCGCGTGACTTGACCTATCAGAAATTTTTCTCATATCAACGAAATAGCGATATATGTCCGCATAGATTATAAGGTTTATCTTTACGTCTTATCGATGTAGACCAGCAGTAGATTTCAATGCGCGTCACATTGACAAGTCCCCCCTTCAGTTATGTCTCCTTGTATATAAGAAGCAACTAACGAGACATCATTGGCCAAATCGGTGGTCTCACTTGCGGGATACTTTGAGAGCAATTGTACGACACGGAGACCGCGCATTTAATTCGTCGCGATAATGGCAACTGCGAAGTTCAAAGAAACGTCCCCGTACCTCAAGCCAAAATTTTCACCACCGGAAGATTACCTTTACAATAGGTGAGCAATCAGCCATTTATCGTAACGCTACGTTGATGTGCAATGCTTTGAATAAACACTCGACCAATCGTGTCGAGGAAGAGTTTTCGAATTTCTAATTATTGAGAGAAATACTTATAGAAAATCGCATATTCTCTTTCACTTACTACAGTGAAAATATATTTTTGCAGATATTTAGAAAACCTCGCTCTAAAGACCGACTCACGAGATGATCCGGTTGTAAAACTGGCTCTTTTCGGTGCGGGACGTGCCGGAACGATACATTTGATGTCCATAATGTCTAGTCAGCGTGTGAAACTTCTATACATCGTCGATGACGTCGAGAGCAACTGGGCAAAAATAGAAAAATACTGGCATCTGGAAGATGTTATTTTTCTAAACAGCAAGCAATCGCACAGAGTATATAAAGATCCCGAGTAAGTAAATACATTACTAAAGATTTAGAGGTCAGAATTTAATATTTACCAGTCTATTTTAAACTCATCGTTTTAACATGTACGAGCGAGTGCATTAGACATACTTGAAAAACATTTTCAAGAGAAGCGGTTTCTACATGTTTACTAGATATACACGTTAGATATCTAGACATTTGCTAAACGTGAAAGTTATCGCAAGCCATTCAGTCGCATATGTTATGCCAACTCATATTCTGTAATTTATGTAGCGTCGACGCGGTCATCGTCGCATCGCCGACTTTCACTCACGAGGATATCGTTATCGAGGCGCTGGAGGCGAGAAAAGCGGTCTTCTGCGAAAAACCTATAGCGGAAAATCGCGTGAATTGCGCCAAGTGCTACGAGACGGCCAAGAAAGTTGGCAGACCGTTGTTTTGCGCGTTCAATCGACGATTCGATCCGTCTTACTCTACGGTGCGTGACAGAGTTCGCAAGGGAGAAGTCGGACATGTTCACGTGGTCAAGACGATCTCACGCGACTCTCCTCTGCCCAGTATAGAGTATCTGAAGATGTCCGGCGGCATCTTCCACGACTGTATGGTCCACGATATCGATATGGTCACTTGGGTTGTCGGAGAATATCCAGACAAGGTGCAGTTTACGCGATTATTTCGAAGAGAAAAAGACCAACACTCATATCTTTAGCTTCTACGTGTCTCAGTTTCGCAATTAACGTTGTACATCTATTAATTTGCAGGTTGCAGTCATGGCTGATGCCAATATTCCGGAAATCAAGGCGATTTCTGATTTCGACACAGTCGTTGCGACTTTGCATTTCCCCTCGGGCACTCTTGGCGTGATCGATCTGTCTCGCAACAGCAACTACGGATACGATCAACGTCTGGAAGTATTCGGGCCTAAAGGCATGATACAGGCCGACAATGAGCAACCGATATGCTCGGTACGCAGACAGTACGGCTTAGAAGGGCCGACCACCGCTCCCATCTGGTATTCGTTCGCTAGCCGATACATGAACGGCTACCGAAGAGAGTTCGATCATTTTATCGACATCGTGCTGGGCAAGGCCGAATCTATGGTCAGACCAAAGGAGATCCTGGCGGTTAGTAAGATCGCAATAGCTTGCGAAGAGTCGGCTCGTACCGGAAAAATGGTGGAATTAAAATGGGCGAACGGAGAATTGCCTTATCATCAATAAAACTTTTGTTTCAACGTTATATATAAATGCGTTTTATATTAAATGTGTAATAAGCATGTGTATTACTTTAAAAATTTTTCTCCCTATACAAAATGAAATTTTTTATAGGAAGATTCGTACACGATGATAAAGCAGCTATACTGTAAATATCACAAAGTGTGATTTAAATTAGAAGTGAATAAAAGCTCGAATAAACGGAATTTCTTTCCTCGCGCGATTTTACTAGGGTGGAAGAGAAACAAATTCTGTCGTCTCTCAAAATATATTATTTCGCAAGCTCGTATAAGGTTAAGGTATTGTGACTTAACGACGCTTACGCTAAATTAGAGAACGTTTAGTAGATAGCTAATGAATAAATCAAGCCATACAGTTCGTCACGACTTTTATCGTTGACCAAGAGAATACAATGATATACCAAATACCTTATTAAAGGGAAAAAATAGCGATAGTACAAAAATCGACGTTACCCGTAAAACTGATGCGCGTTTGTATAAGAATCGCTTTCTGTAACAAAGATTCTCGTAAAAAAAGAGAAATGGAAAATCTATTCGTCTGTCATTATCATTTTATGTACATGAGTCAGTCGGTTTCTTTAATAAACAATGAGGAACTGAGTTTGAGCTAATCGTACGTCAGATTCGAAAATGTTCAAAACACTAGCAAATCGTTAAACCATAAAAACCGGCATCCTCGCGTGTGGATTCTGTTTGCGCCATACCGTGCACGATTCATTTAGAATCTATTAATACTAGATGTGTATATACATTTGTTCATATTCATCATTTAAACGGAATATTACAAAGGAACGCGAATGATTGACATATGTTTCGTGACACGTAGAAAAATCTTACGGCTTATTGTGTCTCTGTTTAGCAAATTGTGTACGCGTGAATCTCGCATGTGAGGCCGTGAAGATCGAATTAAATCTGGATATTCAGTGTGTATCGCAAACCTACTGCATCGCGGTGATCGTACTAAGTATCAAGTTTCATTAACAATTCGACGTTTTTTCAACTTATTCTCAAGAGCCTGATGTGATTCAATGTGGAAGTAATGCGATTTATTTAAGCGTTGCACATATGTGCAACAAAAAAATACATAAAGTTGTGAATATATTTCGCGAATTTAATATCTTTCTCTCCTATAGCAGCTCGGAATTGTGAATCCTTTACGTCATTGCTACAACTCGTTCCTATGAATCATTTATGTGACTTTACGTAATCAGGCCCGAAATGCGTGTACTTGATTGCAAAATTGTTGAGTTATAAAAATTGCCCGATACTATGAAAGTATAGAAAGTATAACAAATAGCTATCAGACGGCGCCAGACGATACTTAAAAATTGCTTTAACGATCGTGGGTCCCCTCCGTCTTTATTGCGTGTCCCGTATTCACAATTTCGCTATATGTCTTTTCTTTTTCTCTTAAGCGCGCAACGTCTTTTTAACATTCAGAATTTCAATGATTTTGCGAACAGCGCGGCGGTGGCTTGTGTCTTATCCCCTTTAAATCTACGCAGTTCTGCGATTACTTGCGCCCTCGTGAAGCCCAGAGCTTCCAATTCCTTGACTGTGACTTCCGTGAACGGATCGTGCGGATAGACTGTCGTCTCTAATACAGCGGATCTGCTGGACGACATAGATGTACCAGGTTGGTTGCTGCTTCCTTGACCATCTGAAAAGTTTTCACATTTGGTAAGTATAGCAAAATCTTCTTTGCACAACAAGTGAAAATGCAATAAAATATCATTGTTGAAATACTAAAGCCATACCAAATCAGGATAAATTACATATCAATATATTTATTTATTTATTTATTTATCAATTTTATTTATTTATTTTTTAAGATAGTGAAACGTGTGAGATAAAGATTGAGAGGATAGTGTACTTACCATTTTGCTGTCTTTGTTTTTTGGCATCCCTCGAACTGTCTTCAAGAGCGCGCTGGAGATCTCTATCGTCCAATACGTCATCGCTATTGCCGCTCAGTCTTGCACACTCGGGTAAATCACCTGTTCAAATAATGAGCAATAAATCAACAAATTTTGATTAGTATACAGAGAGCCTGACAATTAATCATATACTCGTTGTTTGCAGATAGAATTCATCAAACTGAACACAAAATTCCTCCACCACTTTGCAAACAACCACATAACATTTTAAATTAAAATACAGAGAAAAAATCAACACACAGACGTACCTTCTGCCAGAAACGAGGTCTCGGTGCCGGTGGTTCCAATTTTTAAGACGTTTTTCTTCAGGTCTATGCAACATTGATGTCTCTTGAGCATATCCAGACCCAGCAACATGTCCATAGGCTGTTCTTCGAGAACGCTGAACGACGTGGTTAGATGATCATTGCCGATCTGTATTTGTACCATGTGTATACGGCCGATTATACGTTGAATGCCGACGCCTTTGGCGACTCCGGCCCACCTTGTGTCTACCAGCCGCATAATATGGCATCTTTCGGCGCAGCTGGCAGACATTATCGTTGTTTGCGCACCTTACAAAGCAGAAAAAAAGAGAGATTACGCTCCCAATATTATGCTGTTTAGCGTTATTTATCGTTGAGCTACTATAATACCCAAATAGGGGCGAGATTTATTAAAGTTGAATGTAGAATCCTGTTCTTTCAGTTTTATTTTTTTATTTACACAGTGCTCGCGCATTTCGCGGTCTAAAATTAAACTGTTTTTCTGCATGCCACGCGAGATGATCTTCCGAAATGCGCGGATTTAAAAATAGACGCCCACTCGTCCTTCCGATGCAGCGGAACAAAGATACTTAAAAATAGCCCTCTGAGAGTATGATTCAACGGTATTGACATTTCATGCACTTTATGACGCGTGGATATCCTTGTGACCTGGGGTAAGTGTGCATTCTCTCGTTGCAGTTCCCATCGGATTGGAGCCACTGGCAATTTACCTGAATCGATAAACGCTTTGACCGGAAACCCGTTGACTTTGCAATTGATGTACAGCATGACAACGGTGCCGAAGGTCTCCGGATTGTACTCCATCGCGGCCTCCATATTAGCCTCAATGTTCTTCTGCCTGATCTCCTCAGCGATCAGTCGCTGCGCCTCCGTATCGAACGGATCCGCGTTCATCATTCTCAGCCGTTGCGCCTGGCGTTCTTCTCGAGCGTTTATCTGCTCTCTGAGTACAGTCGAAAATCTATCTATAATGTACGAACGTTTAGACCACAAGTGCGAGACACAATGTCGTACTGTTGCACAAGGAATCGCTGCTTACCCAGATTCCCAGACAAGAGTGCGTCGGCTAATCTGGGATTGTTTTGTTTCAGCAACGCCAGCTGATCCGGATTAGCCAGGAACATGTTCTTTATCAGCGCGGGATCGTCCTCGCTGCGGGGATTCTGCACTCTGCTGCTGTTCGCGTTCGTTGGAGGTTGACGATTGTTAGATGACCCGGGAACTCTGATGGAACTGAAGTCCAGTAACGGAATGGCTAGAGCGACGTTTCTTTGAATTTAGTACGTTCATTTCTTGCAGGATATTACATGCTATGTGAGAGATGATCAAAAACAAAAAACGAAATAATTAATACAATAAATAAATCAGACTGCTTTTACTGTCAGCATTTATGATATATAATTTAAAAAATCTATATGTAAATATATTTACATAAATATAATAAGGTATATTTAAGCACATCCTTTTTAAGGAAAATTTTATGGAAAATCTGTATGTTATATAGCAGCATTGCTAAGCTAGATACTGATGATGAGAAAATAAATAATTATTTTATACTATTTTTATTCCTAATTTATTTCTTTATCTAATTATATCATATTTTTGATAAGCAATAATGGATACTGGATAGTAATAATACATAAAAACAAATATTTTGTTGTTTTATAAGCTTTATACAACTCAAAGTAGCACATTAAAAATTTTTTTCGGAAATTATTTTATATTTTAAGACTGCGATGCTTTTCAATAAATACCATTGCAATTTTTGATATATTCAGTCAGTCAGAATCATTTTGTGCATTCTTCCTTCTTTGAAAAGAACATTTTGGAAACAAGCCTAAGTTCTGTTTCTATCGATATTAGTAGACTCTAAATTCAGATCAAGATTTAATCAGGTTAAGATTAATCAGTATTGGTAGAAATGAGCATGAATGATGAATTATAATAAATCTATAGTATATATAAGTATCTGTAGTATATTTATAAACTACAATGTTTTTTACTTTTAGCTAAAGGTTACACATTTTACATTTAGAGTGAAACAAGTGTAATTTAGCATTGAAGGCAATAGAAACAAAGTTTCAGTGCCATAGTTCAGCTGAAAAGAATAGATATAAATTTTCAATACAAGTAATGAATAACGGAATGCAATGTATATGAAGTAACTAAAGAGGACAAGAATACAATGTATTTTGCTAATGTTGTTTGGCAATTTTCCTTGAAATTAACAAATGTATACATAATTAAATCAAAGTCAAAAGCCAAGGTCTCACTATTAAGACTGTCGTGTTATCTTCTCGCACTTCGTATCAAGGAAAACGAGATAAATAACAATTTGGAGTTATAGGCAAGAAGTGTGATAAGTAGCCGCGGTTGTTTGCAATTATGCTTGGATTGTGTAATATTTAGGTGATTTTCTTTTTTTCTTTTGACGTCTCTACAGACACGAAAGACCGTTATTTACCTCTATTGAAAGGTTGCAGGTTCATGTCGCTGCCGCTCTGGTGCATGTGCTGGAGTATGACCGCGTCGCCGTCGCGGATACCATGATCGCGCAGCGATTTCTTATCGTCCATGAGAGGCAGGCCGTTGAACGCGATGACGATTTCATGGGCCGGCACGCCGCTCTCGATCTCGCAGAACGCCTTGAAGTTCTCTAGCTCCAACTCCTCGCTCACGTCCAGGACGAAGATGTCGTCGCTGAGCGTCGTCACTGTCACCTTCATGTTTCGGATTCGCAATAGTCCACGTTGATTTCGAGAATAATGTGTGATACGTTCTCGTTCGAACTCCGTCAGCAGGTAAGTGTTGATTCGTTGTCGAGAAATCTAAGGTGGTAGAATGAGACCGCGGATCACGGGAGTGATCAGGGGGAATCTTGGAACGGAAGGACGCGGCGGAAGGGGCGGTGTGACTAACAAGTCCTCCGGATGTAAACAACTGCCCAGCTCAGCAAAAATATTCCCCCGACCGACCGCCAGCCACACGTCGACTCCACGGGCAGCGCGCTTGTGCGCCTGCGTGAGAAATACTCGATATATATATCGATATATCCATATAGATATATCGAGATATATGTATCGATATTATCGATATATATCACGAGATTCGAGTGCGAGATGAAAATACTGCGGAGAGAAAAAATTCAAGAGAAATTTAAATTGATAATAATTATTATTTTTATACGTATAATAGAATTTAATTTTAACTTTCTCTCACGATTGAATGTAGCGAGCAAAGCGAGCTAGCGTTAAAATATTTTTCGCCATATTAGACAGTCTTATCTTATTGGTAAAACGATTCGAATTTTCCAGAATCGCATGATTTATCGACAAGTTATGCTGTCAATATCCTTAAGGAAATAAAAAGTTTAACTTGTTGAGTCATATTATTAAAAAATAAAAGGCTTTGCGACTTATCATATTTCTCAATTACGAGAAATAGAGAATTTTGGAATTAATAAAACTAATTTAGCTAAGACATAAACCTTTTTTTAGCGCAGACTCAAACCCGTTATCTTTGTCAGTTCTAAAGTTCCTGCTACGAGCCGCCACTAGTTCGAAGCATCGAGGTCGTAGTACGATTCAACAATAGCTCAGACATTTTTACCATCAAATTGCACGAATCGACAACAGGTCGGAAGGATCTTCCTTTTCACATGAGTATGTTTACGAATCTATAATTAATTATAGTCTCAATCTCGAAGATTGTAAATAAGCGAGAATTATAAATACTGGCCGTGGATTATATTATATCCTCAGACACAGCGTGTACAAGAGACATCTTAGAGATATCTATATAAAAGATATATGAGAAATATATTTATATTTATTTTAGATATCTTTTAGACATATATTTTTGCGGAAGAGTCACAGGCAACTGTGTTTACTTACTAAAAAAAATATATTTATAATTGAGTGAATTCAAATGTATTCATGTGATACATTAGACACATTTTTACTTTTCAACAATATGATCCAACAACAAATTAATCTTCTTATTATACTTTGTATTACCTATACGGGATATAAACATGTTCTAAGGGTCAATCGCCACTTGTCATTGCGAGCATGGCGTGAATCGGTAATTACCCCTCGTTCACGTGCAACGGTGCATCTGTCGATCGACGATATGATAAAACGCACATCATAATTTCTCGGGAGAGTGAATAAATACGTCATCGAGATAACACGAAAACATCAAACATGGTAAATCACGGAAAATGATCAACGATTGTTAATGAGCGCATATTGCATCTCGTGTGCATAATAGCGCGTTTGAATAGTACTTAACGAGTGATTATTCATACGACGCGTTTCATTCCAATCAATAACGACACAGATATATCGCCTGTAATCTTTATAGATGTTACGAATAGAACATTCGATTGCAATATACATATTCGCGCGAGATATGGCATCTCGTTAGTGATGGCAAAAATAAATATTTTTAGGCCTATCACTTCTACAAAGACCGACATAAATAGCTTTAATCGTAGTGGTGCTATGCGATTTTCAATCGTATGCAAGTGAACGGTGTACAGATATTTTCTACGTCACATATATGAACATCTTTTTTATTATCATGAAACACGGTTCAATCATTTAGAGTCCGTATTAATAGTCGTTACTTGAAGCTTGTCCTACGTGAGGTACTCAGATCTGAATTTAGAATTAGATGAGAGTTATTTATTTAAATTATATGATATATGCGAAATTTACATTTGCAACCGCGATTTAGCTGAAAAACTGTCATATCTAACTCTAAATTAAAATCTGAGTGTCTCACCTGAGGCAAGTTTGAAGTAACGACTATTAATACGGATTTTAGATAGATAACCTCAACACGAAGTGATAGTACGTTTTCCAACATTATACTTACATATACATATATGTAAGTATACAATATACATATATGTAAGTATACAATATACAGATATTTTTTATATCATTAGATACATAAATATTTTCTTTTTATCATCATGAAATAATTTAATCAGCTAGATTTCTTGAATTCCCGGTTAATCGTATCTATTATTAGATCATACTATTTGATTGAAAATTGTAGTCCTACGGTATAACATTAAAAATAAATTTATAAAAATTTATAAAAATAAATAATGACTATTAATATAATGATTGATAATATTATATATAAATATATGTATAAATATAATAATATTATTAATATTAATTGATATAAAACTATTGCGCCGGGGCGTCCCCCTATAATACAAAACTCAGGCTCGCGCGTTCTCATCTCAATGCCGACAATTATGACATATTTCTTGGATTCAACTGATTTCTCTCTCAGAATCCGCTTTCATCTTCGACAAGATCTTACTAGCTCTAATCGTCGGGAGGCTCTCACCTCCCACACAGGCTTCCAGCCACCTGTCTAATAATGCGTTCGCTGTATCCGGTGCCGCCTAGCTGTTTCCGGTATCCGGCTGGATGTTACCCTCTGCGGTGTCCTCACACGCGACCCCTGCGGAAAGGGCACGAGCCCCCAAAACACTCCACGCTCCAATGCATCGCCTACCCCACTTTTCCTGAGAGGGGGGCAACCCTCACGTGTGTGTCTTCGGCGTCCACGCGATCGATTTGTTATTACGGTTCGTCATTGTGCCAGAGGAACACGGCGAGAGCACCCCGAATCGCCGTTTTTCCAGCGAATTATACGTTTTCTCGGCGCACACTTAGCAAAAACAATTTATTCATAATCTCTCATCAATTTCGAGTATCGCACGTCAGGATGGAGAAGGGTACAATGTAATTTCTCAGTAAAGCTAATGGTCGCACCATCCGTCCTGAAACGGATGTTGCTCGCCGCATCCACGAGCACTAATCGATTTCACACTCCCGCTGAGTATAAATTAATAGACACTTAGGGGTGAGTCCCGACAGGCAACGGGATATTCCGTTCCGGCCTGTTCCGCGCACCAGGTGTTAGCCGCGGTCTCCTCCCGGCAGGACGCACCGTGAAAAATCGCTTCATCCACGGGGCGGCCGGCTCCGAGCCGCTTACGATTGCTCTCGGAAATCTCTTTTTATCGTATGTACATACGTGCGGCCATCAGTCCTGTGTCGACCAGGCTGGTGTGTCGCGGCGGAGGACAGCAGAATTTTGCCAAGCGTGGTCGCGGGGATCATTTCGATCGCGCGATCTGGGGCGCGAGATTGCGCGGATCAGCCACGTCTCGTCATCGCCGAGATCGCATTTAAGCGCGTGCACGTGGCCTCGCCACGTTTAAATCCCATCCCCTCGGTTATCTCTCTCTTTCGATCTGCGGGATCAAAAATTCGGCCGGCACAATGGACCTGTCTGGACGTATTTTCATTTCGGATTATACGCGGCGAGCGCGGTCGCGCTCGGAAAGAGCGCGTAACGGCTCATTGGACGAAACAATTTATTGTGTAATTTATTTTATCAGTGACAGTTTTAAATAACAATCGCCGAAGCGGCGAAACGCCGGCGGATCTTGAATGATGTAGCCGTGGGAAAATGTAATCGGCCGCTCCGTCGATTCCTCCCGCAGGAAAGACCGTCGCAGATGGAACACGATAACTCATCGCGATTCGACGTACCCTCGCTTCCCAATTTCTGGGCCTCTCATTAGCGAGATATAATGCGGACGAGGCGCGAGATCGCCCTAATGTGGCTTTGTTTATTAGCTCGTCGGAAATTTCGTTATACGCACACAAAGAGACATTCTTATTTGAAAAATATTAGATCGATCCCGAATCGCGCGGATTTTTAAACAAAATTGAAATGCATTTTGCTTTTGTTGAAAACAATTTAAATGTACAATATATGCGCCATTCTGCTTGGCAATATTTTGCCATCTTTTACTGAGAGTAATTTCATAATTATTTTCTTGTAAAACTCTTGTAATATTCGGCGAAGAAACGTTCCAATTTCTCACATCTTCTACAGAAGCAAAGTTTACATCGTCAAGAGAGTTCTGTAATGAGCGGAACAAATGATAATCGGAGAGGATAATGTCTGGTGAATATGGTAGATGAGGCAAAACATTCCAGCCAAACTAACAATTTTTACGGAAGTAATAAAACATAATGCACTTATTACTATCTTCCATTTTCAAGCCGCAACAAAGACAACTGTACTTCCTTGAACACTATTACACCATAAAATATGTTCTGAAGTGTCAGCTGTTAAAGAATATACATAGATAGCCAACTATCGATAGCCAACTTAAATTATGTAAAAATATGCGAATGCCAGCCAAACAAAAATCTACACAAATTTTTGGATCAACTTAATATCTTCCCTAGTAGAAATTGAACCTTATAGAGGCTACGAGCCTTGTTCAGCTACGAGAATAGTAAATTAATATTTAACATCATTACTAACTAGTAACGCTTACTTCCCCTAGTGGGTAGATAAATAAGTTAGCTGATGATTAAACGTTTTGTTAGCTGATGCCTTGTCGTCTTGAATTTAAATAAAATTATTTGTTAAATCGAATATATAAAATATGTATGGATGTGCGAGCAACTTATCTCCGTTTAACGCTATGCGATCTCATTTGAAGATTACATGTCAAAAATAAAGATATTCTCCAGGCAAGAGTGTCCTTTTCTTTTCTGTGCGGGCTTTCCGCGGCGATCGATGCGATTGTGCTGCACGGGCAAATTCTATGCTTCCAAGTCGACAATTTTCACGTCGGGAGTACGCGAGAAGACTCGATACGGGCAATTTGTTCTAACGCGCAAGTATCTTTGCACGAAATTACAGGGAGCGCCGTCGCGTCCGGTCGGGGTGACTCGACTCGCGCTATTGGCGAGCATATTGCCGGCGATGCATTATTAAATATTATTATGTGGCACGTAATAATAGCACGTTGGAAATCAGATTGTACCTGTTACGGCGCGCATAATTACAGGTCTGCCCGGTGGAGCCAAATGTCGCCGAAGTGGTTAACCCGGGAGCAACCCTTGCGCGATGTTGCGTCTGCACGTGGCCCGCACGTGCGACCGATTCCTTTTCTATTACGAGGACTTACCCGCTTATCCGTGGTTCCTGACCGATGTGCACTTCGCTGCTCGCGCCAGTTCGGTGGAAGTAAGATTCGAAAAACAGAGGCGATATTCCCGACTAGAAATGTATTCTATGGTTAGATTAACCAATTAGATTAACCCCAATTCGTTGTCTGGTTTCTGTCAGATGATGTTATCACGGCTCCTAATTATTAATGGGATATTAATTATTAATAATTCTTGTTATTAAGATTCTAATCGTCACGCTATATTGTATGACTTATCAGGACTCGATAACAAACCTTGTAACTTGGTATCAAAGTGATCAAGACTATAGGATGAATTTCTATACGGACCAAACGTCAAAAGTGACATGAAGAAAATTTTTATCTTTGATCTACCATCAGAGTTCGTGGAAACACAATTTTAGTTTTTGAGTTTCTCTTGAGCTTCTCTCAGCAATTCTTTTTGCAGCAGATATTTCATGACTGACTTATTTTCATTTACACTTTCTTAGAAATTTTTCGGATAATAAATAGAGAATTTACTTTACCTTTATACTTTTTAAGTAGAATCAATCTTTATGCTGAAATTATCCTGAAATTATTGTATAGTATATGAGGGATGAATATTTGCATGATTTGTGTTATTTCACATGTTAATGTAATGTTAACATAATCCTATAATAATGCTTTACATGTTGCGCACCGAAAGTGATTGGAAAACGAAAGCAAGCGCTTTTGCGCTTGGTCGAAGTTAATTAAAAATTGAAGTCAATGCGCCTCGCTTCGTTACTTGACGTCGCAAATGAACTCGCTCGCTTGTTCGCAACCAATTTTCTTCACTGCTACGGACTTTCGTTCGACAATTACGAATTCGGTAATTACAAATTCATCAAGTCGCTATAGAGCGCACTTGAAAATTCTGTCTCGATGTGAAAGTGTAAGGCCTGTGGCTAGCCGAGTACGAACAACACTCAACGTCGATGAAAACTTTACGCGACAAATGTCAAGAAACTGAACGAAGCCCGAGACCGCGTACTTAATTAAATTTGAATTAGTTTCGACGTACACACGAGTAGTTCCGAGGTATACATGCGCCGTTACTTGATTTTATCATAATCCTATAATTTCAAGTTTGTCTCCTCTTGATACTCGATTCTCCGCGTAACCTCAGATCTTCGAATGTCCATTGAGAAGGCGAGCCGATATGCTAAATTTGTCTCTGTAAAATCGAACGACGTTCCTCCTCTCCCGTTCGACCAAGGTTTACCCTGCGATATTTTTCAAACGTACATTGTACGTACCTTCTTTCTCATGTGAGGAATACTTTTGAGAAAGCGTGTTCTCCGATTGGCCGGCAGTCACGATTCTACCGCAACAGCGTTCCAGGACGGTATCTAGAAACGAGAACAACAGCGTTCCTTATCAGATCGATGAAGAGGCGGCACCGCTACCCCAGCAACCAAGGGGTAGGCAGGCTCTGCCGGCCAAGCGCTCGACGAATGGGGTCGTAGCTGGGTTTTCAACCCCGTGATGGCTTCCGCCTTGCTGCCGCTTTTCGATTTTAGTTTAGCGAGAGACCACCTGAACGATCGGAACGGTAGGTGGTTTGTCGGGAGGCTGCGAAGACTCTCGACTTCCGATACGGACGGATAACGAAGCAGTTGCGTAGGTCACCTGCGAGGGTGACTCTTCGAGGAACTCTCCGACTTCGTACCGTTGTATATCTTGAGTGAATCGTGACGCGGTTTTCGCGACAAGCGAATTCGCGAAGAAGTATCGGGATCGTCAGTGCAGATGCAAAGTGCAATCGAGGAATCTACGACTCCGTGAAGAACAATCCCAAAGAACATCCCGCAGATCCCGTAAATTAATCTAGTCGTCTAATCGTGAGACACGATGATAATCGCTGTACCTCACAACAAGTAAACTGGTGAGGAAATATTGAGATTGTGAGTGGAGATGCAAAATCAAGGATTCCGTGAAGAACCTTGAAAAATCCTGAAGAATTCTGGAAGACATTTGCAGACTCTGTAAATTGATCCAATCGTCCAGTCGTGAGACTCGCCGGTGACGATCGAAATTGAACGACGATGCATTGATGAAGTGCAATCTGAAATCCGAAGGATGTGATCCTGAAAAGTGTTATCCTGAAGAGCCTGACGTTTGGATATTCCAGGTCTCGGTTAACCACGGCGAGAGAATGACGCAGAGGACCGTCATTCTCGCATGAGAACTGAACGAGGCCGATGGTGCGAAAAGATGCCCGCTCCTTACGTTCGTCGTAACAACATTCGGATTTATTTATCTTGACGTCGTAAGTGACATCGCTGGATACAAGTCAAGGCATCTCCGAAACGTAAGGCGTGCCGGTTAACAAGTGTTCGACAAATCTCGACACGTGCCCCGGAGTGGTTTGCCAAGGCACGTGCCGCTGTTTAGGAACATTACGGTGCACGCGTCGATCGCAGCCTGCCACGTGTCGATCGTATCTCTTGATCCTGTAGGCGTGATCGAGTGCGCGTGGGCTGGATCCAGCGTAATATCGGCGGACACGACGCAGCATACGATGTCAGCATCATCGAAGACAACTCGAAATCTATACATGACGATCGCAATTAAATTATTATTATCTGGAGCGTCCGGAGAATTAGATGACGTGAAGTATTAGTCTGTAGTCACGCTGTTCTGTGTCTCTTTCTACGTCTAGTCAGATATTCTAGTCATATTTTCGTTAAAATTATAATAATTCGCGCTCGACGTCTGTCGAGCAAGTTAATCAACACATCGTATAATACCTCATCTATACGCTTGATGAATATGCGCGAGGAAGAATGAAGATACAAGACGTTCGTGGGGAAAACTTGACGGGTATCAGTTGAAACCTCGAGGAGGAGGATCCTGGCGAACTTGGGATGCGCGCTCGATTCTCTCCATGACGTTACGAAGTCATTAAGAGATCAGAATTTCGTGTTTGTGACGTGAATCGCGATAGATGCAGGCGTGGGGCGCGCTTTAGGCCTGTTGTGAACGAGTCAAATTGAAAAGTGGTTATCCATCCTATCGAGCAGTTCGTGTCGCTATGTACTCTGTGGAAAATCTCGAGCGGGACATGATGAATCGACAATACATGTACGAGGCCCATAGCTTCTTGGGAAATCCGGCGATCCCGGCGTTGCCGCCGCATTGCGGCGTACCCACCACGGCGACCTTGCCGGCGATCCCGTCGCAGCTGCCGTCGTACCCGTCTGGCAGTACCGGTAGCACCAGCGGCAGTGAGCATTACTTATACGACGAGAACAGCAGTGACAACGAGAGCATCTACAGCAGCGATCAGGAGAATCACGCGAGAGAGTGAGTACAGATCGCTGTGTTAGCGATCCTGAAAACGCGTTCGCTTCCATGAAATTAGAAGCTCATCCTTTTTATTTGCGGAAAGAAACTTTCTTTGATCTATCAAATAAAAATTCGTAATCAGATTACAATAAAAAACGTTCAATAAAAGTTAAATTAAATTAAATTAAATCGTTGTTTGTATTGTTCTAATAAAGGAAAAGACAGAAGCGAGTGAACGGTATAGCTGCAGGAAACGGGCGCAAAGAAATAACTTCAAAACAGTTTGCGCTTGCTTTCTGATCCTCGACAATTGCATATTTAATGACGCAAAGAGATGTACTTTGGCCAAGGAGCATCGCTTCTTTCGTGTGATGCTCTCGCTCTAAAAATACCCGTCGTGAATAAAAGACTAGGCGCGAAACATTCTTTTTTTCCAACTCGCTGAAATATAACCGAGATATGTAAGGGCATCTATTCGCTCTTTGCTTGTAGACGAAGTCGAAGTAACCGGCGTAGCGGCGCATCGGGGAAATGTCCGCGACAGGTGCAGGTACAACAGCGGCAAGCCGCGAATATGCGGGAACGGCGGCGTATGCAGAACATAAACGACGCCTTCGAGGGCTTGAGGGCCCATATACCGACCTTGCCGTACGAGAAGAGGCTCTCGAAGGTCGACACGCTGAAGCTGGCGATCGGTTACATAAACTTCCTCAACGAGCTCGTCAGGGCCGACAAGGGCGACCCGCTGACGGGGAACAGCGGTTTCTCGAGGTGTTCCAGCCGGGACGACTCTAAGAAGGTCATAGTCCGTGGTGAGGCCAATTTTAATTACATCTTTATGGACAAATATCGATTTGCTCGAATGAGATCTATCATCTCATCGGCTACATCGAGAAAAAATACTTGGAAACTAATTTGTGGGACATAAAGTTTATTGCTGAGTGAAATCACATTTATTTCTGCGAATAAATCTTGTATCCCCCATAAATAAATTTTCAAGCACTTTTATGATGTAGTTTACTTGTATGATGTAGCTGCAGTTTCCGCCATAAAGTATAATATTGCGATTCATATTTGTATTCATCGTACACGGAGAAAAATTTTGCTCTTTTAGCAAAATCGTCGTTGCTACTGCATATTCGTACACAGAGAAAAATAATTTGTTGGCCCAGCAAATTTTTTACTGGTCTAGCAAAATCTTTTCGTTATTATATGGACAGCAAAAAGACTTGCTCAGAGTACTAATCACTATTTGCTGGATATAATTTGCTAAATCTACAAATTATTTTGCTGTAAGAACCATGACAGATTTATATAAGCTGTTGTAGTTTTATTCCGATAGCAAATAAATTTGCTAAGGATACATTATTTTGCATATTCAATAACAAATTAACGTGATTCTTAAGACAGATATACTCAACAAATTTTTTTTATGTCACTACGAATATGCAGTAGCAACGACGATTTTGCTAAAAGAGCAAAATTATGTTTCTCCGTGTAGTAACATAAAAAAAATTTAGTTGACGTAATTAATTTTACAAATTATTCATTATCAGAGCAGAAGTAGTTTCGTTACCAGAATAGAAAAAATTTAAGTATATTTGTCCTAAGAATCACGTTAATTTGCTATTGATGCAAAATAATGTATCCTTAGCAAATATTATTGTTTATTTATTTGCTATCGAAGCAAAACTGCTTATATAAATCCATCATGGTTCTTATAGCAAAATAATTTTTAGATTCAGCGAATTATAACCAACAAATAGTGATTAGTACTCTCAGCAAATCTTTCTGCTGTCCATATAATAACGAAAAGATTTTGCTAGATCAGCAGAAAATTTGCTGGGCCAGCAAATTATTTTTCTCCGTGTAGAAATGTTCGTATGAAGTCGAACTTCGCTGAAATTTTGTCCCAGCTGCGATCGTAATCCGCGTGAGATTTAGTTTAATGCGCACGTGGGTGGCGCGTTACACGCTATTTCGATATTATGTGCACAACGTATTAGCGTTGGCCAACTACTTCCGCTTACGTGCGGAATCATATAGATCGATTTATCATAATTACTCATCTACCCTTTATCCCGAGACAGGTGTGTCCCCGATAGATAAACGGGGCGCTGTTTCGGGGTGGTGTTTGCGTGCTAGAAATTGAGAGTTCGTAAAAAATCGGACGTCACGTGAAAAAAGAAATTCGGTTGGAGTAACCAAATATCTGATAAAATGTGAACGAACTAGAATATTGATAAAAATTACCAGAATTTTGTGTTCAAGTTAACCAGACAAGACTTCTGATCGATCATATTAACTTGAACAAAATTTTAGTAATTTCAGCCAAAATTCTGAAATTCGTTTATATTTCACCAGATATTTGGTTGATCCAATCACATTTTTTTCCGTGCATAAAACCGCACAAGTTTATGCGTTATATTTATGTGAAATAATTATAATCTTCGAAAATAATCTTATACATTCTCCTGTATGTGTATTTTTGAATCTTGAATCTAATGACCGCGACGTTTGGCTAATCTCCCCGGAATTGCGACTTTCAGGCAGCGGTGGAAACCCATTCATCTCACACTCGCTCTCGTGGTCGAGGAAATCGGACATCTCGCCGAACGGTATGATGTACGCGAAGGTTTGGACGCCGGAGGATCCGCGAACGCCCAAAAACGGAATGATGTATGAGTAGACGACGTCGACGGCGAAGTTTTCGCTCTTGTGGCAGGCGAGAGAAGCGTCGGACGTCGCTCGTCCGCGAGCAACGTTTCCTATTCCGCGTGTTATTTAGTGTCTAAGGGAAAGCGTTTCTAGTCATCCGACTTTGTCAAGCAATGTACCTTTGTACCTTTCCATCATCGAAGCGTCAGCGAGTTCTTGCGCGACGGATGATCATATTCACTCGTACTTACGCGATCTCATCGAGGAGTAGGTGACTTGTTGATCGAATTGATTCGATCGAGGAGCGTCGTGAATCTAAAGCCCATTCTACAATTGCGTGAACGTGGTTGTAAGTGGTTGTAAATGATTACGACAACCAATCAGAGTAAAGCAATCAGTGAATAAAACATTCGGATTGGTTGACTCTTACGTTCACGACTACGCTTACGCAATTGTAGAATGGGCTTAAGGTTTAAAGCACCAATGCCTGGACACCTAACATTGGTACCTAACTCTGAACATTCTTATTATTTTGGCTTTTAAATACAAATACTTCAATTTTCAGGATATATGTATATATATTCTATATTGAAAGTTAAAATATTCGTATCTACAGACCAAGCTAATGTAAGAACGTCTAGAATTAGGTTCAATGTTATTAGTGTTAGGTATTGGCACCTTACGTTCCTTGGCACCTTACGCTCGTTTGCATATGTACGAGGCATTTTTACGAAACGTCGTTCCGCGGAACGTGCTTGTAAATAGGAATCATCAAAATAGACGAACTAATAAAGCATAAGCACCGTTTATACGTAATTGTCGCGACATAAGGAATGATGAGTAGCGACCATCATTATCGCCACTGTGAATAACAAAGCCAAATAAAAGTCAAAATTACATAAGATGTTGGACAATGAAAGTAGTTCTCCAAATAAAAGTAGCTCTGATGGCTGTACGATGCCAAATGGAGGTTCATCGTGTCTGTCATTCACCTCGTAGATCCTTCAAGAATACAACCAGCATGAAAAACCGCACTCATCCAACTTGAAGTAAAAATTCCGTCAAAATTCCGTCCTGATTGACCTCAAACGACAGAGGGAAAGCTCCGTTATTCATTCACACTCGTCCAAGTAGTCAAAAGTTGCGCAAACGAGCCGAGTGTCTGTTAAGGATACTCGTCAACGGCCTGTCATTAACTATCGCGAAATTATTCACGTGTCTTTCAGGTCATCAAATCTTAATCTCTCCGTACGTCGTTCTCGACAATTCCGCGGCAAGGGAGCAGCGGCAAGATGGCTGAATCCGCCAAAGGGTTGATAAAAGTATACCCCAAAAGGTGCTTCTTACGTTCGTGCAAGGGTGGGTGCGGAAACTGAGAGGGAGAGAGAAGAGCGAGAGAGAGAGAGAGAGAGAGAGAGGGGGAGGAGAGAGAGAGAGGGCGATGAGAGAAAGAGAGCAGGAAACGGAGGGAGACGCGATGGGCGGTACGTCGATATTGCGGCGTCGCGGCGCCCTGCGACTCAGGGATAATGGCGTCGACGGCTGCGAGTCTTCTCACGAGGCATATCCTCTCCGTTCCCTCCTCGTTGTCCGGCGTGCCCGACAGTGCTGAAACACGCCCGGGTTCGCTCTCCGCCGTCCCACACGTTATTATTGTCATTAACAACTTTTCAAGCCTGCGAGCAACGCGGAAGATAAGGGACTTCAACCTCGTGCGTTGCGTTGCGCTGGAATACCTAATTTCCATTCGGAATCTCCCACTTTTTAAAGTTCACTCACAGAGCGATCCACAATCTGCGATAGGATTCTTGATGCAAGAGGTTCGTCGCGTTTGTCAAATAAGATAGAAAACGAAATTATCTTTCGAAGAATTAATCTTTTTCACGAAAAAAATGAGCAACATTGACATTTTTTTAGATGTTCAATTATTAATTTTTATATATCTTTCTGTTTTCCTCTTAATGCTCGAATTTCCTGCAAGAATTTAATAGAGAAACGATAAATTACTCGCGCCAATCTAATGTCGGGTTGTGTGATTTCTGATTCTCCTCAAAAGATTTTCCAAGAGAAAATCTTGAATTGCTCACACAATATTTTCATAGCATCGTCTTGAAATTCAGGGAGAACTGTGGGTCAGTCGGGTGAAAAGTACGGCATTTGGAGAGTGCGCGACCCGCAGCAGGGTGGGCCACTATCAGCTGTGAAAACAGCGTTGTTTATAGACACCGCAGCACAATGAGGTGTAATTGAATCCATATTCTACGGGGGTGCGGCCGGTGAACCTGAACCCTCTCGGCGAAGCGAAAGGGGGCCAGCGGACACAGCCGAGGCCCCCTGCAACGGCTACCTCGCCGTCAGGGTGGCTGTATTTAACGGTTCGGGAAATCGAGGGTGGCAGTCGATTTGTGGACAATTAGGGACGATTTCGTGGCACCACGGGGAGCACACTCGCCGCGGCCTGTCCGGATCGATTGTCAACTTCCGTCGTGTGATAAGACGCGTCTCGTCCGATAATGGACGACAATGTTGCGGAGATAACGGTAGTGGATCAGAAAGTCCTTATCAGACGTGTTCTCAAAAAGGCGTGTGTTGATTTAAATGTGACATTCAAGTGCCTGAAAGCTTATCTAGGTTGACGCAGGTGTGCCGGTATACCTGTCCTTATCGCCCGCGCGCTCGATCGGAGCAAATAATTCTTTTTTTTTTTAATCATTAAACCTTCGCACGTGAACCTCTCACAAATCCTACCTAATAAATAATGAGCAGTAAGGTAAACGTCCTAGTGATTGAACGTGTACCGATAATTGAATTACTAATAATATACTTGTGTTTGTTAAGATGCTTATCAATATGAAACAAAATCACAAAGTAACTAAATATTTCTTTTCATTTATTATATTATTTTGTATATTGAAAAGCATTTCAACAAAGAAAAATACAAAATCAATATGTCAATCATTGGGACATGTATGTTCGACCACTGGAACGTTTACCTTATTTATCTCTCTGTAACGTTTAACAAACATATTACATATCAGTCTAAACGATATAATGCATAGTTTAACTTTGAATCGCACAATTATATGACAATGCGATATATTCTCTCAATATACTTTAAAACAGAATTTCTTTTCACTCCTTACAATTTGTTATAATTATAGCAGATGATAGAAACGGATGAATTTGTACGTTTATTCCAACTTTTTACACATATAGAGACCTTCTCCCTTTTTTGATAGATTATTATTATTACTAAAAGGTGATGAAATTCATTGTCACTTATAGAAATCTGTTATAATTTTCGTCATCTTCTATATATAATTATAACAAATTTGTAGGATTTATCAATTCCCATCAATTTTTAATTTATTACAATTAGAATTGAACATTTTTGTAAGGGGTTAGGATAAACGTATAATTTATCCATGACGAACGAAATATATCGGCTACAATCGTGCGGAAAGAGGCGGTTATTGAGAGGCGCGAAAGCTCGGTGCTCCGCATTGAACTTAATCTGTTCTCTAACGTCACGGTATGACGATCCCGTGAAAATTAGCAAACCATAGAATCCGGGCTCCCCTGGGGGCGCATTAAGTGTACCCTCTTGTCGCGAGGGGTGCACTTGTGTTGATCCTCGCAGCTGGAGTGACACACAAATAAAGCATTAATTCTCGATTCTCGTGTCGCAATAATGGTACCCGACGTGTCTGTGCGTTACGACGTAACACGGCGATGTAACAGCGTGGATGGAGATATAATACTGGGCACCGTCCCCTTCGTCCCCCCCCCTCCCCCTGCGATATCTATTACGTGTATCTTTTCTCGAAACAGAGAATGGTTTTGCAACATGAATGTATATTCGAGAGAACTTCTGCTAATTTTTAATAGAACATTTAGCTACGACCAAAAGTGCATTATTCGCGAGATCGTCTTTCCACATAATCCAGTTAAGAGCGCTTTCGCACACTTGTTTACAATTTAAGGCTTCCTGATTATTCGCCGCCAAACTCTTGATTGATTCATAATCAGAAGCATGCAAATGCATCCAAAATATCTACAAAGTACATAGAAATAAAAAGATGCATCCAAAAAATGACACTTGCAATCGACTAAGTAAGCTTCTATGATAAAATTTGAACACGTTTCTCTTGTTTTAATAATCAATAAATAACTATAAAATTATCGTAATATGTAACTTGCCCTTTTAACTTAACGCATTTCCTCATTATTCTGTTACATTAATTTTACGATTAATTTATGGATTGTAGAGTAGAAGAAAAATGTGTGTATGTGTGTGTGTGTGTGAGTATTTTAGAAACGTGTTTAATCAATTGCAAGTGTCATTTTGTCTTTTTATGTCATTTTATGTCTTTTTATTTTGTGGAAATTTTGGGTATGTATTTCCTCGCTCTTCTGACGTCATAAATCAAGATAATCGCGGCAAAGGGCCAGGAGCCTTAAACCAGATACAAAACTTACGTTAGAATTATAAATTATTACGTTAGAATTAGAATACCAACGTGCGGTACAGAGAAGATTCGAGTGATGCCGAGTTGAGTCAAAGAGAGCATCCATCCACCCTGCGGTTCGTCTCGCCCTCGGGGGATGAAACTAGGGCACGCGAATACCTAGGCAGCTGCACCCTCCGAGTGGTCGTTCAAGTCTGTACGAATTGTCTCTCCCTCCTGTACCCCCTGGACACTCTCGTGCTCGCTTTCGCGCTTGCATCGTTTTCAACTCACCCCGCGAACTTTATTATATTCCAATTATCTCTCCGTATACTCTCCGGACTTAAGTCCGATCATAAATAAGCTCCCTTTGCGGTACCACGATCGCGACGGATAACACGCCTTCCTCCCCCGATATTATTTTATGATTGTTTCTTCGTCATTTACTCGTCTTTACGCAAACGGAGTTTTCAATAATAATTAGAACGAGCCGCGCACCTTTATATTCTCCGACATTCAAACGAGGGAACGAAGTTTCCCGCTCGCGAAACTGATAAAATCGCGCCGAGCTGCAAATCCAGCTTCGCTCCGATAAGAATCTAAAGTCTGCCGTTTAATCCGGCGTGAAAACTCGCAGTGTAACCTTCTCAATGAAATCCTATTAGTTCATATTTTACATTGGACAGCGCGCCGCGACGCGCCTAATACCGCAACAATAGATCCTCTGTGAAGGATGATCTCCTGGAGGGTGGGACAGGCGCGTGTGTACAATACACGTATGAAATCATTGTTGAAATTTGTCATGATGAAAACGAATGGAAACGCAGAGAAGAGGAGATGTTAGCTTCCTGTGTCACCGGGAAATCGCGTGGAAATCTACCTCGGACGTTGCGTTTCGCGTTTTCTTGTGCAACTCGGTGCGAAAGGAAGAATAATGACATATTAATTTTTAATTATACAGCAATTTTTTGATCAGATGAGACTTTAGTTGTGGCTTAAACGAGAAGAACAACGGGCGACTGCGACTTCCTCTCGTCGCTCTGACAAGGAACTCGTCTTTGGCGTTATCCGCGGTACACAGACTGCTCGCATGCTTTCGTATAATATTGATTCGTCGGAGACGAGGTCGCAGGTGAGACTTCCCACGATCGTTGGCCGCATGGAGAGTGAGAGAGGTAGTGGGAGAGAGAGAGAGGAAGAGAGGAGGGTAGAGGAAAGGGGAGGGAGCAAGAGGGAAAGAGAGAAGTACCGTAGAATCGTCTGCGCGGTCTTCGAATTGCCGTGCTCGTGTGCACGAGGAAGTCGAGAAAACCTCGTGCTTCCCTCAATGGAAAAATAATGCTTTAAACCGCGGTCGCTTTGAGGGAAAGAGTAATCTTGCGATATGGAGTAGCTTTGCGTTTTTCACTCGATTATTTTAGAGAAACGGTCGTAATAACGGCTAATAAAAAAGAAATGAATGATTTTCAGATCAACAGGAATTAATGATACAAATATAAGAGACAGAATCGGACAGAGATTGCATTGCGCGAATCCAAGTGTTATTTTTAAATGTATAATGATTTGACTGAAGCTGTTTTTTACACGTTTATTGCGGCATTGAGTCACTTTAAGAGCGTAAATTATGATTTGACACGTTTAAACACGTGTTAAATGGCGTGACTTAGAACGGTGAGAAATTTGTAAAGAGATTCAGCCAAAATAACACACCTAGTTTTACGGTTTAAGCGGAGAAAGCGGATCACGGGATCGTGTCGGTGGTAATTAGTACGTGGTCCTTCGTCCTTGTACGTTTAGTCCTTCGTTTTATTACATGCTTCGTATGCACAATTACATTACAAAATTGTATCGCACAGTGTTTACATTTCTCGTTTGAGATATTACACGCCATACGGAGGATCCCGGTTCACGGGGACGAGATTGACGAAACGAGCGACTGCGAGAACAATGCCTTCGTCGGACGTAGCGTGTGCCGTTTTGTAATTCTGAGCTGAATTATTATTCTTTCGAGTAAGAAAGCTTTTTTCCCTTTTTTTTCTCAAGAAAGAACAGTAAATCGCTATTCGGAAAGCCGTTACTAAAGCCGTGGCCGGTGCACCTAGCCATTCGGAGACGTATAGACCCTTATGAGAGACGCATCTTTCTCGTTTTCGCGAGCGTCCTTCTGGTAGAAAAGTGCAAAAGGTTCGAAACGTGTGACGCCAAGTCAGGCCAAATACGAGTCTGTTGACCTTCAATGTCGGCGATATCACTTCGCGTCCGACTAAAGGATCCACTTATCCCGCACGGCCGTCCAATTGCAAATTACTTTCTTTGCTGCCAGTATATTCTATGCACAACTATACGTATGAAGTACGTAAAACGATTTACGGCGAAGCCTCACGAGCGAACACTCAATGTGGAATCAATGGAGTTTTAATTAGCGCAGTGAAATTTCGGATATCGTTGGAAGATGAGGAACGATTTTGAGAAAGATTTGTCGTTCGCAACGTGACAGTTTTGCTTTTCCCTCTGGAACACTGAACACATTGAAAATCCATGTGTTCAATTTTGGCTGAATATCTTTTTTATGTTTCTTACCGTTTCAAGTTATTCAACACATTAAACATATTAAGGTTCCTGTCTGCTTGTCGCGGAGTTTACATTAGTGGAAAAGATTCATGATCGCCTTCAAGTACTGCAACACTCACAAAATTTCCCTTTTGTTCTAACGTAAGATAAATAATCGTAAAATTAACGCAACACGCAATCTTCTTTTTTAATCTATATTTCCTTATTATTTTATCACGTAAATTTTAGATTACTTATTGAGTGTTAGAGCAAAGTAAAAGTGTTGGGAGTATTTTAGAAATATTTCTTAATCGATTGTGTCATTTTTTGGATTATCTTCTTATTTATACTTTGCAGGAATCTCGGGAAATACATTTCCTCGCTTCTAAAGCTACAAATTATGATAGGCGGGGCGATCAAGGCAGAGTATTTATCACGATCATCTTTTCACGTAAACTCGATCTCTCTTACTGTGTAATTTTTTTCTGCTATATGAAATCGTAAAAAGTAAATAATTTTGGAGTACTTGAAGGAAATCACGAATCTTTTCCTCCAGTGTAAAGTGAGAGATAAACATTTTCATACATTCAAGTAAGGTTTTTCACTTTTCACGAGTTTATACTAAAGAACTTGAAGATTCGTGATCGACTCCTAGGGAGGAGCCTTAAGTTATGAGCGATACGTCTTGAATTATACAATTTAAAACTGCAAGGATCTTGCAAAAAGAACTTCAGTTAAGTTACATGCTTATGCGTTTAAAAACGACCCACCTGGACTTGCAGCGCGCACATACGCACGCACGCACGCACGGACACACATACGTACGTCGAAAAATGTACTCGTAGGAAACTGACAATTTATTTGGTAAACGTCCATTACACATAAGATTAAACGCATCGCGCGCTCTTAAGACAAGATCTTATCTACGAAAGTAAAATCTACGCTCGATCACTACATCGATGACAGTCGCTAATGAATTCTGTATACACCCGATATTCTTCTCCTCCGGGCGCCGGAGGAGAGTTTTGGGCAAAAATAGGGATTACCTTAAGGACGCTCGAGAGCTCGATTCGATTCTCGGATGATTAGGAACACAAGTGCTTTTTTTTTCTTTGTACCTCCGACACACGAGATTGAACACAGAAACGCGGAAACGATATTTTTCATCTTCTTGCCGGACAATCGTGGGATGGAGGAGAATTGACGCGACGCGACGATAAGTAACTCACCAAGGAAAATGATCGACGATTATCATTCGAAAGGGGAGAAAAGCCTCACACCGACTCGCGCACACGCACACACGTGCACGTATGCGAACGCGTGATTCCTCTATCCGTGTGTGTATGTGTGTGTGAATGACTAAAGACTTATTAGACGTGCAGTGACATTTTCGTCTCGCGACATCGCCGGGTTGCTTTCTCTCTTTTTCTCTAGTTTTCTACACACGTCTCAACGAGTCGCCTAAGGAATATCGAGAAGTTTAATGAATTCGATTGAGAAAAGATTTGGCACGATCAGCTGTGAAAAAATATTATCGTACTGCTCTGTAACTTCGACGCTTCTTTTGTTTTTTCTTTTTTTCTTCTTTCTTTTACTTTTTCTTTTGCTAGGATATCATACAACTGTTCTCTTTCCCCGCCGTTATTTCCTGTAATCGCCTTCGCGCGTACCGTAATAATATAGTACCCTAAACAATACACTCGACTATACTGATAATGCATAAAATACTCTTCAAGTATAAACGCGCTGTCTCGTGTCCCAATATCGCGTATAATTTATTTTTTTTCCTTTATTTTTTTCTCATTTTCCCATATTTTCTCTCTCTCGCTCTCTCTCTCCTTCAGAAATCCTAGCGAACTTTCGACAAGGTCGTCAATCATGAAATTCACCAAATCAGTACGATCAATACGCTCGGAGTTCGATACCTTTTATCACGTACTCTCGAGGAGTTACGCGACTTTTTGCGTGGTGTGTGACGCCAGCGAGCGTTCTGCGATCGATGAAGAAACGATATATTCTCCAATTAGATTCTCCTTAATTACGAATTCAAGAGAATGGCAGTTTTCCGCTCGCCATTATCTCGTAGCTACTTCAATAGCTGTCGCATTAAAATCGATTGCAATCGTGACGGCGAACAAGAGTCACGACTCCTCGAGAGCGCACGACAATTTGGCAACTGTGTTTTACATGTCGTACTCCCGCGGCACAATCGACGCCCACAAGGAAAACTCGAAGGAATTTGCGTAGTAAACTGATTTTCCCTGAGTGGTGATAAGCTATTCTGTAAGTTTGGTGTTTTCATGTCTACCTTTGCATCTCCTCTAACTGTCTCTTATCGTCGAATATACGGTATACCTTCATTTATCGTACGAATTAAGCCTAGTTTCCTAATTAGAGATCTCTCTCTTTCTTCCTCTCGCTTAAAAATCCCGCCTAATCTCTAATCGGACTTACAAATTTAATGTCGAGTAAATTAATCCCTCTCTGTTATAATCCTATTATCCCTCAACCACCCCTGAACGTTCGGGCCGATGCGAGCTAATACTTTTACGTGAGACACGTTATATCCCCTACGTGATCTTTCTTTCTCTTAATAAAGAAATGGAAAATTAATGCATTTCTCGATTTGGAACACAGTGTCGGATAGTCGCAATAATGATAAAGAACACAATGTGGTAATTGTCAGTCGATCACTAGCTCATCGAAATCCCCGTGCGACCACTTCCGCGTTTACGTCGCTCGAAGCGATTTTATCGTCGTCGCCGTCGCCGTCGTCGTTGTGAAAGGTGGTTTAGGGAAAATTTCAGTTTTGTACGACGAATTGGAACGTACGTGTATGCGTGTCATCATACAGCTCGTTCGTAACTAGTGTTCTGCGAGGCTGAGAAATCTCGTAACTACATTCGCGTAACCATGGTGCAAAAATAAAGTGATAGCATGGAACGTATCCCGTAAGTGTACTTCCTCACTTATTTTTGTTTGTTTGTGTATAATTGCTGCGGTATTCCTCGAACTTTTCATTTCGACGACACAAAGAGATACTTGCCGGGAATCACGTGTGTAATTGGCCAATTTTGCGACGGTCGCTGATTAAATTTTTTTCCTCTTTTTTCCGCCTCTCCCACTCTTTTGACAATTCTCGTCATTTCGCACTTTGCGTATCGCTTAGTGATTCGTTCGCATCAAATTTCTTCGTCGAATTATGAACAAGCTATCTTTCATTACAACGTTTGCTATTGAGCGAAACATCTTTCCTTTATCAAGCCTTATTCTCTAAGATTTTCTACCGTACCATCTAGTACTTTTGATTTTGCGATTTGCACACGGCGTCACGCTTGCTCTTTCTCTCTCCCTCTCTTTTTCTCTCTCAAATTATACCGACGCGGATAGAAAATTGAACGGTTGTGTCCTCGCGAGATGTGTAGCAAACGGATGAATTTGACTTTCAGACATACAAGCATATACATCGTTCTTAAGCAATGTAGTTTCGCCTTTACACGACCGTGCGTCCCTATACCTTAGACGATTACTCGCGCGTATCGCGATCAATACATACACATGTATAATATGTATCGCAAGTATTTTAAGTATTTGTATTATCAAGATTTGTGCCGTGGTTCGGTCTTGCCTTTTTTCTTAAGAATTTCCTTTGTGGTGTGTCATCAGATAATACATCGGAACATTGCTATACTGCCGGACGTAACTCGGCTACGGGAAGATTGGAGGATCTGAATTCCTCTTCGTCACGAAAATAAATCTCGTTGCATAAATTACAATATGCGTACCGATGAGAGATAACTCAATATATTATAATTGTCCTCGTTGTCGATTCGATTTATATACGAATTGATAGAAGATTCATCCAATAAAATCGCTCACAAACGCCTTCAATGTACAAATTTCTTGGTACTAATGTAGAAACGCAGTAATTTAAAACTCGTCTTTCGTGTCAAAGTGAGAATAATACTATTGGCCACGAAATCATTTCCGTAAGCACGCATCGATGGGTGGATCATCGATGTGCAATCCCAATGACCATGGCCCGGAATATTGTGTCTCTATTTCATTTAGATCAAACGATGGCACAATATCCTTACACATTCGCATTCTTCGGAAAACTTATGCAGCGATGCCGATGAAGCAAGGTATCGATGAAATCCACCATAATTGGACTAAAAAGATGAACAATTTGAGATGAGGACGATTGGTGAGGGGAAGTGGGGCGAGTGAAATGGGAGTGATGGATAAAACGAAGTTAAAACGATCAATGCGTTCGCTAGAAACCGTTATTGCGATTAACCTACTTCACAGCTCTTGTTGGCGAAAGGCAGTGCTCGTCTTGTACATTTAGGTTATTCTTCATTTTTTCTTTCTTTTGACATATAAGATTAGAATAGAATATACATTAAATTAGCTTTGAAATAGGTTGCACTCAATATCATTGCGGTATATGGTATACGCTGCGACAGTAGTACGCTTAAAAAAAGAAAGAAAAAAAAAACAAGATAGGAAAGTCGCGTGAGCGATGCGACCAGTGCCGCAGCTTCTGTGAGATATTCGCGCACCATTTACGCATCATGATCGATGTCAGACGTTAGCAACAATGATCTCTGTTTCTTTCCTGTTCTTTTTGTTCCCGGTCGTGTGTCTTTAGCATGTTCCACTCTTTTTAGAAAAAAACAAATTTTTTTCTTTGCGTATCCTTGTCGCGTACCACCAGAAATACACGCAGTTAAGGTCGTCAGAATGTACACCTACTGTATTATTGCTATTTAGCGCGGTAGATTAACTTACGATCTAAAATTTGTACATCTGTGGATTTACTGTTCACATACGATGATGCCTACAAAGAGAGAAACAGAATGTCTCAGACATGCCGAATTCGCGAATTGTGAAGGAGAGGATCATCCCCGTTGAAATAACTTTACATTTGTAAGGATTACGTTTCAGCGATGAAATACAATCATAAATTTCAACGAATGTTACGAATGCTCTTCGAACATCGGAGATCCACGAGACAAGTCTGCCTAACTGCTTCTTCGTTTGAAGTTGCGACTTCTTTCTTTTTTTTTTCTTTTTTTACATCACTATGCATTCTAACTTTAATTGAGCCTCCAATTGCAATGTACATGTAATTCGTAAAATTCGTAAAATCGCACGTGCAGAGGCAAGTACGATAAAGTAAAGATAGATAACCGAATGATGAAAGGACGGTGAATACCCGATACGATGCATACGCAAAATAATAATGTTTTTAGACGAGATCCGTACGTTGAACTATAATAATAGTTAGGACGTTATTTTTCTCACAGGAAATTTAGATACTCCCGCATGATATCGATGATCTTTTTTTATAGAGGAAACCGACATTGAATGTGTAGTGAATATTATCAGGTTGGTATTTCAGCAAGCTCTATCGATAGAATACAAATCTAAGAACAAAAGTAACCTTTAGCTATTATACGTCACAATACTTAATGCGTCTCTTGTTAATCGATTGTTCAAAACAAAATGTCGTTATAATGATTCTCTTTTATATCTTGCCTTAAGACTTCTGATCAATCACCACAGCTATATTGGACCGATGACGTCAGAAGCGAGGAAAACCATGCCTAAAATTCCTGTGAACCACAGCTAAATAAAAAGATCATTAAAATATCATTAAAATGACACTTACTATTTGTTTTATACATTTGTGAAATGCTCCGGATATTCCTCTTTTGCCGAGATAACTTATTACATAGAGATAGTGTTGAAGCAAACAACCATTAATATTAATTTATACCAATTTATACTATTTATATTTTGTTTCCCATGTTCTTTTTAAAAAGTCAAATAAATGTATTCATTGGATCATACATACGATAGAAAAAATCATTCCATTGGAGGACTTTCGTTTATGCATTGCTTTCTAAATATATTTTAGTATTATTATAGTTCAATGGATTCGTAGTCAAATTGCCATGAAATATATGTATGCAAAATATCAGCCTTGTATGCATCATTGATATACATGACAGTTTCATCGAGATTGTGTCAAAAGATATGGAAATATATATATATGTATATACATATACGTATGTATATACGTGTGTATATACATATATGTATATATATATGTGTACATATATACAAATTGAGATGTACGTACGTATGTACATTGTAAACTGCAATCGACATCGTTAAAGAGATGCCATTTATCGAGTAAGAAAACGGTTGCCGACAAACGACGTAGAAAATGTACATCAGTCAATGTTTCGCGAAGAAGCGCAGTTAGGTCTCTCTAATAAATGATCGCGATGGGATTCGAACATCTCCTCGAACGTTCTTCTACGCGTGTGGCAGTGGATCTAGTACATTAAGATTTACGGTTGCCACATTGAGTGTATCTACCTTCAGCTGGGTTTGCCTGACGGCCCGTGACTGGTCGGTGAAGGTCCATGCGAATGGAGGTTGTGAACACTGCCTACTTGATTGCTGGTGAGACCCGGCATACCGGGCTGATACATCGGCGGCATATAATTGTTTGATGATTGCGCCGCTGATCTGAAAAAAAAAAAAAATACATACAAATATGTATATGTATGTATATGTATGCATATGTATATATGATATCGAGAATGAGAGAATAAAGGCCAATTGAAGAAATTCTAACCTGGGCACTCCACGTAACGGATCTGGTGTGACGGATGAGTTTCGTACCACGCCGGAAGTGTTTGCTGGCGCCGGTGATACTATGTTACTCGGCTGACCTTGAAGATATCCACCAGCGGCTGGACTGTGCCTGTTTTATTAACCACGAGGATGATGAAGCGTGTCTCAATGGACTATATCGGATATAATGGATCGTATTCTGCGACAAAAATGAATATCAGTACCTTATTGTGGGGCTCGGTTGCGGGGCGACAAGTGATCCCCGGTGTTGATATTGTGATAGAGAAGCCGCCGCAGGTGGAGAAGGATCTGGTGGCAAACCGTTCTCCAATGTTGTCGGATGACTGGCGGAAGCAGAGTGAGGCATATACGTGTTATTTACTCGTCCCTCGCGATTCATTCTCGGTACCGGGGCTGGCGCACCGGGTGGTACTTCTGAATGCGTGACGTTGGGGTGAGACGGATTCACCGTCGGATGTATGTTATTCACTGAAAATAATTTGAAGATATACTTGTATAGTTTGGCAAATAAAAGTAGAAGTCATGAAGTGGTTAATTCAACTAACCTGGGTGTGAACTAGGCTGAGTCGTTAATGGTATAGCGAGTCTAGCATTCACAGCCAATAAATGGTCTCTCCTCTGCAGGAGATTATTTACATGTTCCTCTAGCCTAAGATTCTCAGCTCTCAATTGATGCAGACAGGAAAGCAGGGACGCAACTGCAACAGATTTTAATAACGATGGTTTAGTTCGTTCTAAGCGATATAGGACATTGTTATTATTCTATATTGAAGGCAAAAGCAACGTCGTACGTTAGAAAAACAACTGAATCTAGAAATTAGGAGATAGAAACAATTGTATTAAAAAACTAGAATATGTGAAATATACGAATGTTCCTCGAGGATGACAGAGTTAACAAATAAATGAGAATGTTTATCATAATATAAAATGTAAGTTAACCTTACATCCCTTAAGATAGAAAAAAAGAAAAGAAAAAACAGATGTATATATAGTTGACAAAAAAAACGTAGCGCGAATATTTCTTTCCATTAAATCCGTGTAATATTCATGTTTTTTTTACACTCACTATCAAAATGCTGGGCTTGTTCCATTAAAAATTGACTTCCCTGTTCCCATTGCCGCTCCAGAAGCTGATCTAACGATTGCGGGATTGCACCGCCACCTAAAGTGCCGCTAGTGCTGGCTATACTAGCATTCGTATTGTTGCCGTTCGCGGAGAAAACCGAAGAGAACGAGGTAGGTGGTACATTCGATTGGTTAGATCGTATCTGCTAGTAGAAGAAAATATCAATTCGTTAATTATCCGCTGCGTTAATAATAAGCTGCGATTAACGAAATTTACATCGTCTTATGATTTAAAATAATTCTTGCATAATCGACAGTACGTACAGACGCAATTACTCGACTGTGTAGCTGCGGCCCGACCAGATTTGTATTAGAGTTGCTTGCTTCCGTGAAGATGGAATGAGCCTCGAGCTCTTGCGAAAGCGTGTCAGACATTTTCTGCGCCATCGTGGAAGTAGGATTCAACTGATTTCCCAGCATGTGTGGTGCGCTGACTCCATTTTGAAACCTGTAACAAGATAAATCGATCCTGCACTATTCGCCACGCGACGAGAACATTCTCGACGTTTGTGACCTACAATTTCACGTTATTCTCTTCCTTTAACGCAGTATTGGCGAGAGTGGTAGGCGTAGTCGACGCGGACGGCGTGGACGCGGCAGTGGTGTTCAATTTTCTCTTTCGTCTTCCTGGACCGCTACTACTCATACTTTCCGAGCCAGGACTGCTGGGTGGCGACTCTTTAACAGTAGCAGGTCCGATAGTGTTCACGAGGCCTGTTCCGAGGCCACTGAAGTGTCCGCTACCTTGTGTAGGGCCATGTATTATTGACGGCACTGGAGCTACCGTGACTGCCGGCGGGGGAGTTTGATGATTGTTCCTGCCACCTCTTTTAGACGTCATCACAGTGCCACTGGCTACGGAGGTTGCGACACATGAGGTGGTCGTTTGTGACTGCTGCAGCGACGGTTGGTTGTTGGAGCCACGCTTCGGCTTACGAACCTTCTCTTGTTTATCCGACGACTGAGACCTGGAAAAACGATATGCTTCAAATTATTCCATTGTAACGTTGTATAAGTTTGTTTTGTTTTTTTTTTTCTTTTTAAAATGTGGCCATTTGACCGCATTTGTAGGTCATGCGATTATTTTGAAAGAAAACACTCAACAATTACGATGAGAAAAGGTTATTGCAGACGAACTTGTTTACCATTTATATCCGCCATTTTAATCCGCGGTTCTTGAAGTTGGACACGTGACTTCAACTTGGTCAAAGTGTCTGTACTTTTAACTCGAGGTGTTTGCTATTATTATGCATTACCGTAACACGCTTTCACATGTGACTTTACAATGTTCTAGGTTGATACAAAAGGTTCGTGATTTTTCTATTAAGTTTTCGTAAGAAGTTTGTGTATTAAAATAAAAATAACAAGTCCTCATTAAATGTCTAAAAGAATATCGAGTCGAAATTATTAATTTTGTTCGTAAAAATTATTAATTTCTCGAAATTTTAATAATTTTGTTTTCTATTTTATTTGGTAAATGCGATAAACCTTTTGCACCTAATAACTTAATAAATATATCACATATGATTTGACATGTATCATAAATCATATAACGTGCCACGTATATTGCAATACTATTGCACTGAAAACAAGTACATTTTTGTACAATTAGTACATTAAGTTTAAGTCAAACTCTGCTCTGGTCATTTATTACATACAAATACTTTTCAAATTGTCTTCGAGCTGTCTCGGCTAGGTTGGACTTACCGAGATCGTTTCACCGGCATTTCTTCCGTGGGAAACCTCTCGGCAGTCGCGCTGGATCGCGGCTCGGTATTGGCGGCCGTAGTAATTATACTCTGCTGTAGCTGCTGATACAGAGTGGGTGCGCTCGTTACCATACTTTGAACTGTGGAAAGTGAGGTGGCGGTCAACGGCACGGAGACGACTATACTATTCGACGAAGTCGTTGGCGATTGGGTGAGAATTAACGATTGGGATTGCGTTACTGCCATTATCACAGGTGTGACGCTCGTTTCCGTAGCGATCGGCGTGCTCGAAGACGACTGAATCGGACTTTCGACCTTCACCTGCACAATCGACAAGTTTGAAAAAAATATAAAAAGGAAGAGTATGCAAAAATCAATGAGCATATGACACGTGTCAGGAGCTCACCTTTTTCAATTTTTCCGGTTCCGTCGTTGTGCTCAAGCTGGTGGCCTCGGTGATTGTCGGCAGTATGTTATTGCTAGGCAGTGTCTGCTGCATCATAGAGCTAACAGAGACCACGACAGATCCGCTGGCCTCCGAGCTCGCGGACTGATTAGAGTTCTCGTTTCCTATGACCGTCGGTGTGCGCGCACCGGTCTTCCTCTTTTTGTTAGTATGACCCACTGTCTTGCCGGTTGCCGAGTTGGACTTGGTCTGATTGATGTTCTTGTGCGTAGCATTAGGATTGCTGACGGCCGTCTTCATCGAGGAAACGGTAACTGCTGCTGTCGCCGCCACCGTCGCGACCGCGGTAGCGGTCACGTCATGTCCAAACACGCTCTCCGACTGTGTGACGATGGTCTCGACGAAGTTGGAGGTCGTGAACTTGCTGGAACTCGTGGAATTATCTTTGGGCGTATTGCGACCGCTACCACTCTTGTCGTCCGCGACGCCGTTTATCTCTAAACTCGGACTAGCATTCGATTTACTTTTGGAATTCGCTGTAGACTTGGAGCTCGAGCTCTTCCGCTTGCCGCCCGACGATTTAATCGGCATTTCCGCTTCCTTCTCTGGCGATGAATCCGAAGAACCGTTGTCGGCGGGTATGGGCTTGTAAGGCGGTATTGTTTTTACATTACCACCTTTTTTCTGCAAACCGGTCGAGTGAGTTACACAGTAACCGCTTCTTAGCGAGAGCAATGCAGAAGCAACTACCAGATTACCAACCAATTTTGAATAATGATGCTGACAGTATCCGCAATATTTTACATTGTCCAGATAATTGCCAGCTTCCTCGCAGAGCAAGCCTAGAGCCTGTGCGCATGTGACATGAAATTGCTGCCTGCAGCCTGTTTTGTTACATTGCATGCACGCTCCCACATTTGCTCTATTGCCCCTTCCTTGTTCCTCACAGATGTAACACGACTGAAATTATTTTTCAATGTGACACTTTCAATGTGACACAGACTATGATGAAATGATAGTACAAGTGTATAGTCAATAATGTAACAGAGTATGAGACAAAATACAACATAATAATATATAGCATGGCAGATGTAACAATGTATTTTAAAATAAAAATTCTGCTAATGGGTGGAATTTTTACCTTGTTAAACCTTTCTGGAGGAATGAGTTGCAATATGATTGGTTCCATTGTAGTCACGTTACCAAATCGAACTTCTGGAATATAGAGAGCGCAAACAACATGCGCCCATCCAGCCTGGTCTGTCCTCTTAAGGGCTCCATCTCGACTTGGACATAATTCGCAGCGCTACGCGCACCACAATGAGTTATATTTCAAGGAAAATACATTGTTGTCATATGGCCAATATTAATACTATTATTGTATTATGTTGTTGTATATACCTGGCGATACTAAATATATCCAATGTATCACAAAGAAACATAATGAGATAAGTACAAAGAGAAAATATTCCACATACCACACGGGCACTCCGTTCTTGCGATTCACATTTTCTGCAATACCATGGCCCTGTTGGTACAGTGACAATACCATAGCACGCTGTAAAATAATGTTTACATAAGGTCTGTTCTCCTCAAAAATACTTTCTAAACTAGTATATACTGATGCCAATAAGTTGGAGTAAAACAAAATGTATTGCAACAAAACTTATTGCATTAGTGTACACCAGTTGAAGGAGTTCTACAAAAAAAGAATAGACTCATCATTTCTATCAAACAAGCGACAACAGATTCCAACAACAGACTATTCATTCGGAGCAATGGTAGGCTTTTGAAAGGTAGTTGAGTGAAGATACCTTGATGAACAGCAACAGTGCATCCCTGTCCATCACAATACACCAGTGGATTCTCGGTCCAACCCCTCTCGTCAGAACACACACAGCACCCTCCGAGCATCTCCTTCATGCTGTGCCCCAAGCAATTCGGAAGACGAGACTAGCATGAGGAGCTAGGCGAATCGCGTGTTTCGGCGTGGCGCAAGTTGGCTCGCCACGGCGCGTGATCGCATCCTGGCGACGACGACGGCGCAGCGTCGTCCAGCAACGACACGGCGTTCTCGGTGGGGGCCCGCTGCCACCACTACCACCACCACTATCACCGCGTGTGGTGTGTTCGCAGCACCCTCGCGACTCTCAACACAACACGATACGGTCCACGCGCGTCGTCACGTGCGTGACAATGGTATGCGAAGAGCAGCGGCCTCTCTCACGCGAGCGTGCCTCGGCCGCAAGAAATTGCACGCTGCCGCCGCGAGCAACGAGAGAGAGAGAACGAGCGCGCGCGCGTTTTAGCGCGGAAGGGCTCGAAAGAGCACGCCGCACCTGGTCGTCGCCCTGGGCGAACGTACACGTGCCCGACCGGGCGGCGAACACGGGGACACACACGTGCGGACCGACGCACCCGCTCCGGAACGTGTTTTCGGACGGTTTGTTATTTACGACGGCGCTCTATTTGTTTCGCTGTCGGCCATCTTATTTTGGTTGTCGCGCGCGAGCCGAGCATGCGCAGTGCCGCCGCGCGCGATCGAAAGGCGCGTCCAAACGTCGCGCGACGGAAGGAAGTTTCGACAGGAGAAATGAATATAGACAGATTTTCCTAGGGAAAAGTTACATGATCGTCAAACTCGAATCACCATAGCCAGGGATATTTTAGCTGGTGTTCACAATCGAATCTTAGGGAGCATTTACACTTTGACAGAAAACACAAAGGTTGCATTCGCTTTGGACGCTTATACGCTGTAAGTGTCATTCTATCTTCTTCCCGCATGAGCAATAAAGATAGAATGACGCTTACAGCGCGTAAGCGCCCAAAGCGAACGCAGCCAAAGGATGCTTTCCAGTTGCGTACATTGTGTTATACAAAACCAGTTTATTGGTTGCGTATTGAGTGCGGTCCAATAACCGCTACAAATGCTGCGCAGCGTTTCTCCCTCTTGTTCTATTCATCGAATTCGAATGAAGAAAGAGAAAGAAGCAACATTTATAGCGGTTGTTGGACCGCACTCAATATGCAACCAATAAACTGGTTTTGTGTAACACAGTGTGCGCAACTTTGTAGCTACAAGCGCCCGCTGGACCGTACCCATTATCTTACAAGATATTTTAGATAATATGTGACCAATAAACTGGTTTTGTGTACGTGTGTCGATGGTGCGTTCTTTTATTCACACACATGCAGCGATGTCATGTTATCCTTCGATTTTATTGAATGTTAAACAAGGATAGAATGACATCGGCTGCATCTGTTGCGAATAAAAGAACACAGCCGATGTGTTAAGCAATTGGAAAATACCCAAAGGCAGGAGCCAATCAGAACTCGTATTAATAGAAAAGTAGAAACTAGTCATGGACGTAGGTTGCTTTCCAACAAGAGACACAAGTCGACACAAGTATCATCCTATCTTTGTTACTCACTAAATGTGGAACAAAGATAGAATAATGTTTGTGTCAACACAAACTTATATGTAACTTATATGTAACTTTGAGCTTAAGCACAAAGACACAGTCTTTTGTGCTTAAGCTCAAAGTTACAAACAAAAGAAATTTCGCAAATATAGTGTAGTTTCTTCACATTGTACATATCCCACACAGCAGGAATGTCTCAAATACATCATAGGGATATCTTGAAGATATCACATCCCAAATATATCTTTAGGATGTCTCTATGATATATTTTGGATACCTCTGCTGTGTGGGATGAAATGTATACCTTAGAAATTTTATGAAAAAGATATCTTTTTGCTATTTCTGTCAAGTATTACAAAAAAAAAACGACGGTTTTTTGTGAAATGGCACTTCTTAACGTGGTAAATAAATAAATGTTAAGTATATTTTATACTTTTATTTTAATCTTTTATTGCATGAGGGCAATAAAAGCTCTGTTATGAGTTATATATATATATATATATATATATATATATATATATATATATATATATAAACGATATTTAAAAATGATATATACGATATAAACGATATTTTAGAATGATATTTTTCTGTATACAAATTCGTTTCTATTAATATTTAAAATTAATTACTCCGTTTATGTAAAGTTTCACAGAGTTACACAATTTAGGATGCTATTTCACGTGTCGTACGACAAGCTTTTCGGATACGTTTATTGGTTAGCAAATAGAGTATTTCTAGGTTTTCTGTTCGTCAACCAATGAACATATCCAAAAAGCTGTCGTACGACACGTGAAATATCAGCCTTAGGCTAATATTACATGCGTCGTGCGACAAGTATTGTCGAACGTGTCGATTGGTTGATAGATAGAATTCTCTTAAAGTCTTTGGCCCATATTCTGAGTTCTCTTTTAACGAAAAATGAGCCTCTAAAAGTGACTCATAGCCAACCAGAAAACTTATAGGTCACTTTTAGAGGCTCATTTATCGTTAAAAAAGAACTCAGAATACGGGCTTTTAACTTTTTTTCCAAGTAACTCAGAAATTCACTATCCGGTAGCAAATTCTTAAATAGAACACAAAATTATTTTGATATCAAGATAATATCATTTTGACATCATTGTCATGAAATTGTCATGAAAATGATATCGGTTGATGTAAAAATGACATCATTTTTATATCATTTGACGTCATTTTGACTTTTATATGACTTTGTGTTCTATTTGGGTTAGAGCAGCCGACAAGCTTGTCGTACGATCTACGATATATCGTACGATAGCAACTATCTCAAGAGATCCAGAACCATCCATTTTTCTCCTCGTACATACTAACAGTAAGTTATTATCCGGTTTTTCGCGTCTCAATTTCGAATAAGTCCGGACAGACACATCTTTACTTTGTCGAAAACTCAATCGCAATAATTCCGGTGGACATTAATTATCGTCCAGAATTCTGAAATCGGTATGTCTTCCAATAATCCTGAACACTAACGCTCATTCTCACCCCATACACTCACACATATACTCACACATATACCAGCACATTGTAATTACAAATAAATCGTATATTATTTCTTTTATAAAGAAACATTAATTTCTTTTGTTTATCCGTCCTCTCCTATTATCGCTCAAGGTCCAGTCCCGAGTAAAGAGATTCAGTTCTCTGACTCAAAATCGGACCGCTCGCCGTACGTCGTCGGGCTAGTAAAGTGATTCTTCTGGTCGTTGACTAGCTCTTCGACCTATAAGTACAGATGAGGCTTTCTTTATGTTGCGTTCTCCTACAGGACGTAACAACTCGTTCTTACTGTTAGATCCCTAAATCTAGACCAATTATATTGACGAATTACTCAATTGTTGTGCAACTGTTGAATTCGCTGAATGTACCCAATAAAGCAACCATGGTGTAAGAATATAAGTGTTGCATTCCGTTTACACATTGTGCGCGCATTTCCTACAATATACGTGAACTGTAGATAAATGCGCGCATATATGTGAAACGGAACGCGGCCAAGGTGTTTCATTGCGCATCATGGAGATTGGAGTAGAACTAAACAAAAAGTTACCACAAAATATACTATGTTAACGTTACGTCTGATGAGAGCCATTTGGTTTTTCGCATTTGTGGCAACTTTCTGATTGGTAATTACTGCGCATCCACCGGAATGCATTACCTTATATTCTTACACCATGGAAACAACTTTGTCTCTTGTAAAAAAGTAACAATTATATAAAAGTCACTAAAATTGCATTTTATTTCGTATCTGTGTCTAAAATGATAAATTTAGATACGAAATAAAATGTAACTAGATACAGATTTTGAAATGAAAAATATAATTAGATACAGATATAGATACACAAAAAGTATCTAGATAAAGATCTGCAAAAAGATAGATGTATCTACATGTATCTAGATACGTTACAACACTGATCATATAATACATTACATGTTTTGGTCTCTGTTTCAGATTTTCTTCAGTTATAATAAAATAATAATAATAACATTTATATTGTCATAAAATTGAAAAATGCGATTTCTGTCAAATGTAGTATTTTTTTTTTCACAAAAACTTTACTACGGATTTCAGAGTAAGACAATTTTCCTAATAAATACAAAGTATCGTTACAATGTCACCTCAATCATATGATATGTTACGTAACTGTTACTTTGTTATATAACAAAGTAATATTGTAACGTTTAACGACAATGCCATTATCGTTACATTGCCATTGTGTAATGTTTCTATTATTATAAACGGAAAACTGCCAACATAATGATAACGATACTATCGTTAGAAGTTACAGAATAGATTTACAAAGTAATTAAGATTTCTGTGTCATCGCATCTTTATCTTTTTTTAATTACTTCAAAAGCGAGGAAACTATGTCGAAATTAAAGGATATATCCATAAAGCAACACTTGCAATTGATTGAGTAGATTTGTAAAATAGAATACTTCCCTTTTGTTCTAACAATCAATAATTTGCCGTCAATTAATGCGATATAAAATGTATACTTTTAACCTAACTCATTATTGATTGTTGCAGCAAAAAAATAGCGTTCGGATTTTTTTTATAAATTTGCTAAATAGATTGCAAGTGTCGCTTTATCGATATGTCCTTGAATTTCAATTTATTTTGTTGCAAAGAATTGTTAGCATGCTTTTCCTCGTTTCTGACGTCATTAAAAAGAAATGGACGATGCGAGGACACGGGAGCCTTACGTAAAAAACTCTAACTTAACGTAAAAAAAAATTCGGAAGATAAGAAGAACACAACTTCCTCGTTTTTATTCCGAGTATCTGTATAAATCTTAGTATAGCATGATTTATTTATCAGAGCCGTTGCTCACAACACAACGCGTTTCATAATGCGAGTACGTTTGCTGCACCGAAACGAAATCCGAGTTTCTATAATCGGACACGTATTTTATAATACGTCTTCCATACGACTTTGATTGCGTAGATGCTTCTTCATTTATGACAGTCGAGAATTATGAACTATGTTTTAAAAATCTGAATCAAATCTATAGAGTTGTATTCTTTCATATACAATACAATTTTGATCTTTATATTTTCATTTCTGAGAGATATATATATATATATATATATATATATATATATATATATATATATATATATATACTTACACACAGAAAAATACATACTATATTCAAGTAAATGTTACTTATTTCAAAATTATTTCATAAATTTATATATCCGCAAATCTAAGTTGTTCATGAGCATAAAATTTATTCCAAATATATTCCGAATTCTAGTAAACTCAACATTTCAGTTAATAATATTAGATTAAAACAAAAGTTTGATTTAATTGTTGCACACACAAAAGAACTCTAACTTGTTTCTCGATAAAGTTTTATAATATTCTTATAAAGGAAATAAATTCTTCTCCTAAATGCATGACAATGAGCTTTTTTAAAATTTGTAATGAGTATACTTTAGGACTATTATTAAGAAAATTCTCCTAAAAATAACCATTATTTAAAAGAAAGTTAACTGAATAATCGTAGTAATAGAATGATATCTCTTAGTAATAGAATGATATCTTTTTGTGTCACGGCCTCTTTCTACTAATGAGTACAACTATTTAAAGTTATGCGTCTATTTAAAGTTAATTACTGCGTTTATGTAATTTCACTGACTTGCACGACTTATACGTATGTAACGTGGCGAATTATCTTACCTGTTGTGTTTTACAAAACATGAAATGCTCGAAAAATCGGCGTAGTAGCGAGTATCGGTGTAAATAATTTTTTAAGCCACGGAAGGATGGTACGGTCTGTTTGATAAAAGCGTGTCCGGCAGAACTTGATAAATAATTCATTGAAATAATTTGGAATAAAATATACACATACTACCTGGTTAGAACTGTGATGTTTTATTATTAATAAAATTAATAATAATTAATTAATTAATTAATAATTTTATTATTAATAAATTAATTAACTTATCCAGTCGCCTTTATTATCAATAATTGCCTGACATCTCCGAGGCATACTTTCAACTAATTTTATGCTAATTTTTTTTAACTATTTATCTTGAGGTAAAGATCGCCTTATCAATCGAATTTGTCGAACTAACTCCTTGACCAATCAAATTTTCTTTCCATGAAGTTTAAACTTCATCAAGGATCAACGTTTTCAATAGTATTTGCATTCGGTGATTATGACAGCCAATCTAGTAATTCAACACCATTTTCTTGTTTCCATGAGGTACAAAGGTTTCTTTATTATGCTTCGAAATTTCACATTGAACACGTAGACGTCTTCTTATCGTGTCACATGATATATCTAAACCTTTTTTCTTCAATGCTGCTTGTCCGCCTCGCAACGATAGAGAAGTATTGTTCGCAAATATCCATAGAATCATTTTGTCCTCTTTGTCCGTCGTTTTCAGCGTATAGCCACGTTTCGGTAAGTCATCGACGTTTCTCATCTCTAAGTAGCGATTCATCCACTTATTTACAAATGCTTTTGACTTTCTCATGTACTTAGCAGTCGCTTGACGCGACATTTTTGGTCCTTTCGAATGTGTACAAAGAAACGCGATGCGTACTTGGCACTCATGGCGAAATATATATTTTTGTCACAAAGATCGAATGACAACTAAAGCTTTATCAACAAAGCATTTTAGGCAAAAGGTCTTTTTACTAGCTCTTGTTTGAATTTTTTGTCTACCCGTTTTTATGCAAAAGTTTTGCCGGACACGCTCTTATCAAATAGACTATATTTGAACATATAATAACGTACGAGTAAAAAGGAGTAAAAAGTTCAATTGTTTCTTTCTTTTATATATAAGTAGTTTCCTATAAATTATGGTAAGTGACATTTAGACTCACTTAGGAACGATCCGATGCTGACATTCTCTTTGATAAGCGGACTAAGATGTTCGTGAAACGTCGGAATAAGACGAAAAAAAATCACGTGGCTCAAACCTGGAAACCAAATCTAATATTCATGAACATTGCAAAAGCCTCAAATATCAAATTTAGATTCATTATTTACGAACGGCAGTAGATGACATTGACGAGACAAAAAAAGAACCTATAGAAATAAAACGACAGAAATAGAACACGAGAAACATGATTTTGTAAGAATTTTGCAAAGGACAGATGTGTGATAAGTGTGTTTGCGATAACAACCACACACATAGAGTGTATGTTATTTAAACTCGTTGTAAACGTAACAGATAGTCATTTAGTTCGGGTCGTACTTACGAAATTCATTTTCCGACAGTACTTAATCCTCTCAGTGCTCTCTTTTAAATTCTCTACATTATTTTAAATACTTCGTTGTACACGTAACAGTTAATTGTATACTTACTCGTAATGTTGCGAAAAGTATGGAGTCTTTCGGTAATGTTAGTAAAATTATATATTGATAAAACAATTATATTACACGGAGAGAATATTATAGTTTCTGTTTTATATATGTTTTCAATTTTACTATGTTTTATATATGTGTTTTCTATTTTACTTTTTCTAATAATACAGGAACAGAGGGTCAATAAGGTCTATGTTGTTAAGGAAAATAATAAGTTTCGTTGAAAATATAGCTAATTTTTTAATAACTTTTTAATTCCTAGAAATAGTACATATGAAAGGATACAATTACTGCAAAAGAGGTCGATTAAAAAATTCCGTGATAACTTTTATTATCAAATTCTCTCTCTCTCTCTCTCTCTCTCTCTCTCTCTCTCCCTTTTTCTCTCTCTTCGTGTAGCACCACTAGTATTTACCAATTTGTAAATTGTAAAAAAATTTAATTTTTAACCTGTGTTCATTATCATCACAGTATGATCAATTATAGAATTCAGTCCCGAGACGGACACAACGATTTTAAGAGATTACAAAGATCACGCTTCTCTTGCTTATAGCCACTCGCGCAATATAATGTCCTCTCACCGGCATTTGGGTTCGTTGGAGAACGGTAAAATAGAATTCCAGCCCTTAACCACCGAGACCTTGCAGGGTGCCCTCGACGTGATGAGGAAGAATTTTTTTGTCAATGAAAGCTCGTGCGTAGGTGTAGATCTCATTTCTGAGCCAGGAGCGCCTGAGGAAATTCTAGACATTTGCAAAGAAGTTGCTAGGGACGGCCTTAGTATTGTAGCTATCGATAAGAGCATCGAGAAGGTTATTGGCGTTTTTTTCTCAAAGATTCAAGTGAGTACACAATCATTACGTTTATGCGGTTGGTGTAATTGGTTAATGCCCGATTTTACTAACGTCGATTGAGTTTTAACCTGAGTTTAAACTGTCTTCAGACAAAGACTGACTAAGGTCAGATTAAGCTTAAATCAACGTTGAAGGACGTTGGTGGAATCAAGCTTAGATCAGTGTTTGAGACCAGTTGACCAATCAATTCGATAATTCTCGATATTGTACTTATTATTATTATTGTTATTGACGTCGTGTATACAGTTACGACATATAATAATTGACGAGATGTGTCGTTATAAGTAACTTCACGGCCAGTATAATTTTTTAGGTAAACACTCCTGGGAAGACTTTCTTCGAGCAATACCGCGAAAAATGCAAGTATGATGCATCGAGGGCTTTCCTGGACTTCAATATAAACGTAGATGGAAGAATAAATCTTTTCAAGTACTTCAATGTCGATTGCATCTTTGAGTTCTTCTGCATATCCGTGATGCCCGAGTATGGGCACAAGGGTGTAGGTGAAATGCTGGCTTCAAACGCGTTGCAAATCAGCAAGGATTTAAAGAAAGGCAAAGACGTGAGAGTGCCCGTCACAGTGCACGGTAACAACGAGTTGACGAATGTTAATGTGGTGCCTTCCATATGTTCAACCATCCTCACATCCAAATATTCCCAACGTCTCGGTGATAAATTTGGTTTCCTGGAGCTGCTGAGAATTTCTTTCGAAGAATTTGAGTTCAAGGGGAAGAAGTTCCGTGATCGAATTACTTCGAAACATATAGATTGCATTTTGGCGGTCAAGGAAATTGAATCGTAAATATCGTGTGCAGAATCGCGGTGATGGTGCTATCAAAAATGATGATTCTACAAAATTAGGAATTCTTACATTTGAAGCTTTCCTTTGCGCTTATGATCTCGCGAACTTCCGTCCGAGAACTATTTATTTAACACAATGCATGTATTATCGCCAAAAAATCGTAATTAATTAATAAACGACAATTGCGCGAGCCAAATTTGTAATGTTATTTATAACGTTGTTGCGCTTATATGCGCAATAGACTATGTGGTGATGTGTGACTTATTAGAAATGTGTACCAATGCATTGCGTACAATTGCGGCGGAAAAACGAATTGATAATGCAGTGATATTTTTAACATTAGCCGCCAGCAACGACAACAGCGCCGGAAGTCTTAGATAATACACGCGAGAAATATTCTACAGCATTGCACGAAATATATAATCAAATGCAAAAGTAAGATATTAATAATAACGATGGTTTTACAATCCTATGGATAATATATAACTTTAATATCATTTAATCACATTCCACGCAACGTTGATTTCACGAAATTACGCATTCTTGTTTGTTGTTGAATCTAAAGAGTTTACGATTGCCTCATCGACCGAATTTCGCGACTCTCCCTTCCGCCTCTTCGTCGAAATTTTTATTGGCCTTTATTCTCACGATAAAAATTGCAGTTTGCCAACGGTAAAGCGAAGAATTGGTCTATGATATTGTGTTTTATTTTAATAGCCAAATCTAACAACGTCGCGACAAACAAATAATTTTTCCCAGCTTGACTCGGTTATGCATGCCGCATGCGTGACTTATCAAGAGTTGTGTCGCTGCGATAATGCTCACGATTAAGCGGTTACGTGTGCAATGGATAAAGGCAACTGCAATCACGATGCAATTTTTATACATCCTGGCAATTCCGCACGTATAAAGATAGCGGGCTGCATTCTGCCGCGGAGATATCATCCGCGAATCGACTCGGCGAGAGCACGCGACTTCCATCAGACGGTGTATTAAGGTAAGCCCAGTCTCTGCGCTTTCGCGCGCGTCGGTCATGTCGAAGCGCACCTCGAGATCCGAAGTTCTGTGCGCGATCACAACGAAAGCCAAAATTATTCTCATGTTCTTCTCAATTTCTCTCTGTGCCTTCTACCTTTTTACTATCTATCTCTGTTTCTTTCCATGTTTTTACTTGTAGTAGAGATTTATCGCGTGAACAAATGAATAAAAGAAAATAAGGTAAATTAAAATCGCGCGTTCAGCGGTCGACACGTGCGGCCACAAACAAACTTGCAGTCCCGAGAGTCACGAGCGGCCGAATCCGATGCGATCACGCAAAAACCCGGAACGTGATGCGCAAGACGCGAGCATAAACTTGTGCGTGTGTATCGATCAGCTATAGCAAATGCAGCGTTTCTTTCAGACGGCCCGGATATGCCCATCTGTCTTGGCACTGATCCCACGGGCGCCATCGAGTACAGGATCCTCAGCAAGGGTCGGCTCGAGGAAGCGCTCGTTGTGCAGCAGCTGTCGATGCACCACGAGTGCATCGCGATCGGCATGGGCATGTACGAGGAGCCCGGCGCCGCCGAGGAAATGAAGCTCGTGTTCAGGGAGGTCGCCAAGGACGGGTGTACAGTGATCGCAGTCGATCAATCGGACCGTGTCGTCGCCGTGGCGTTCAACAAGTTGTGCGCAAGTAGAGTGCTGCGTTTCCTGCGCAAATATCGGCTTTCTGATCGGTGCTGAGTGACGCGATCAGGATTGAAGGCGGCAGCTCGTTATTATCGAAGTGTCTCGATACCCTATTCGCGATATTGAGTGTACCTTCGACGCGGATATTTTATCTTTAATAATGACCGGCGAATTGTCGCGCGCGATTTTTATATCTTCACCACGCTTTGATGCGCGATGTTCTTCGACTTATTTGCATCAGAGGTGAATGTATGCGTTTTTTCACCGGGCGATTATCATGGAAGCGAATAATCGCGATTTTGGATCGCTTCATTCCATTTAACGTTGATTTTAAGAGAAAATAAATAAATAAATAAAAATCGAGCGATATGAGCATATCTTCAGAATCTCCCAGAATTATGTAAATAAATTTTTTTATGAACGATATTTCGCGACTGTGGGGTATCGATGCTTTCGAAAAAAAGATTATCGTTGTACTTGCAAATGTTATTCTGTCTGTCGCGCGTAGAAAAACTAAGATCCTCATTAATAGTTATCATCTGAGATTAGTTTCATGTGAGATACTTAGATCTTTATTCAGATAATTAGATTTAAGTTTTTCAAATAAATTATGAGATATTATATATATATATATATATATATATTTATTTATATGTTTATAATATATATTTATATGTTTACAACCTTTTATAGGAATTTTTAATTGAGGTTTTTGTTAGGTTTTTTTATTAGATATTTATGTTTGTAATCACGATTCAACTGAAAAACTCTTATCTAACTTTGAACTCAAATCTGAATGTCTCATTTGACTGGCCTCAAGTAATAACTATTAATATGGGTTTAAAACAGCGGTCAAATATAATGGAAATCGGATTATTATTTTACACGCGATTTCACGTGTTTCCAGACGCCTCCTAAGCCGGGAGAAACGGATCCCTTGGAAATTTTCGTCGAGAACAACATAAAGCATCGCCCGTGCCGGGATCTTATTGATTTTCTGGGCGATGTGAGTTTGTCACTTGAGTCGCAGCAATCAACGGCTTCAATAGAAGTGCTCTAGTTTACTTTGGAATGTTGAGAATCTTTCGCAAACAACGATAAATTTCACGGAATCATGACTTCGTTCGCGCGTTATTAATTAATTTTTTGTCAGTCCTTCGTATACTTTACGGGGCATCGTGTTCATGCCATGTAAAATGACTTTTTATATCACATGTTATTTTCTATTATCTCATTAATACTTCTCTTTTTGGTTGCTGTATTACTATATTATTATTCGCGTCTGTTGAATATTGTGATGATCCAAAAAAGACCGGAATAATCTCCAATTCTTCATGATTTCCATAATAACAAAACACTACAAGAAAATATATCTAAAAATAATATATCTAAGAAATATTTATTCGGTGGGAACTAACAACACATTTACTCAAATTTAATTTTTTTATTCGAATAGAACGAACAGTGGCTTTTATGTGAAAGGCTGTTGTTTTAAGAAAATATTTATTTTTTCGTTTAACAAATTTATTTTTCAGTGTAAAAGTATGTATATTAGTGTAAGTATTATGTCAACAGTACCGAATAAATATTATTTTAGGTACTTTTCGTCTCACAGTGTGCGTAGAGCGCATCAAGGTCGGATTGTTAGGTAGAATAATAAATTTACTCATAGTCGTCCAATTGAAAAGAAATTCATAATAAACTCCCGCGATCTTATCGCTTACTGAGAAATCGTGTAACTCTTGTTATCAGGTGGAGTCGCGCGTGGACATCTTCCAGAAATACAACGCGCGTGGCGCTATGGAGATCTTCTACATAGGTACGGACCCGCGATATCAGAGCCGCGGGATCGGTCGGCAGATTACGGATATGAGTCTCAAACTTGCGCGAGGGTTGCGCGCGAGGAAGGTGAAGCAGATTTGCATCGGCAACGAGATCGTCAACGAGCACGTGCGGCCCGAAGTGGTTTTCGCCGCTGTCGCGTCCACGTTCAGTCAGCGCATCATGGACAAGCTGAACTTCGAAACTCTCTTCGAGGCACGTTATGAGGATTATGTACGCGGTGGCAAGAGAATGTCGGACAGGATAGGCCCACAGAACCAAACGATTAGACTGGTCGCTCGCAAGCTTTAACGACGTTCGCAAGCTCGGACTATTCTGCAAAATTGCAAAATGTATCCTCTAATTGTCTCAAGAAAATAATGACTCCACATTCTATGCCATAAAGTTAATTTACACAATATAACGCGATAAATTATATAATAAATAATATATTATATTATATTGTGTGTATATATGTGTGTAAGATATCGTATATAGAAAAATATAATTATTGACTCAGACGGAAACACAAAGTAAGAATTAATTGACTAATCTATATCGAAAGGAAAAGCGTCTAAAAAATAAAAATTATTTATTCGGTGGATATTAATAACGTATTTACTTATACTAATATATAAAATATTTTCCGAATAAGAAAATATACATTTTCTTAAAATCTTCTTATGACAACAATTGTTTATTCTACTTAAATGAAAGAATTTAGATTTAAGTAAATATGTTATTAATGCTCACTGAAATAAATATTCTGTACTTTTTAGATATTCTTCTCTGAACTGCGTTAGAGGAATGCAATTATAAATAAAGTATATGTATATTGGAAAGAGAGAAAGAGAGAGAGAGAAAGAGAAAGAGAGATAGAAAGAGACAAGAGAGCAAATATAAGTTAAAGAGATTTTTTTATATAAGTATATATATGTGTGTATATATATATATATATATATATATATATATATATATATTAATACATTTAATATATTATATCCACGACCGCGGAAACGCTCACGACGGTGATGCGTGGAGACGGCGTCACGATTTTGAGCGAAACTGCACACCCCCGTACTTATGTATATCACACCACTTGCAAAAAATTATGCGACAACAGGCATCTGCGTTCTGTTCGGCTAACACCAAGCGAAATATCGAGCGATAATTCGCGGCGTCTCGATCGGCTTGTAATTTATCGCGATCACACCTAAGTATTTCAACAAAGCCACAGAAAACGATAACAGTCATCACGAACAATTGTAACGTAGCTTCCGCGGTTCTGCAGATATTGACGTGTTCATGACAACACGACGACGGAATCAGCGTGCGGAAACGATTCTTTAGTTTTAAGTCTATGCTTACAATACTCATATTGGACGAACTATTCGACATTATGCTATCATCGGACGCGTTGTGGGACGCACACGGAAGAACCGCGACTCCCGGCGCAATTCGGCGCGCTGTTCTATTTTTATCGGGAAGACACCCAATGTGTATACAATATATATAGTAAAGTTATCATAAAGCGTCGAGATCTGAAGGGAACGTAATACGAGACGCGATCGTCCGCTCGTTCTACGAGAATCGCCGGCGCAAACCTTCCTCTACTTAATTCGTTTTAGTGGCGCCTCGCGCAACACTTTACACCGAGATAAAAGTTAGCCATACGCCGTGTACAACACTCTGTATGTGTGTGTGTGTAATAATCAACACAGCGCGAGCAAAGTTTCAATGTGCGTGCGTTGCGTGTGTCACAACAAAGTAAATCTTAAAAATTGAGAGTAAGTATATAGGAGAGCAAAAGTATCTAGATACTAATAATTTGTGCCTAACTCAAGGACGGTCTCATTATTTCAGTCTTTAAATACAAATATTCAAACTTTCAACGTAGAATACATAGGGTGTCCGGCGCATGTCCGCCCGTATACAGATAGAACTCTGTCAACGGAAAAGTCCTCAAATGAGTTCGAGTCTAAAAAGTTTGTCTCTCGCATCACAGCATTCATTTGTTAACTTTCTATCATTAATATCTCGAAAACTCACGTGGTTGTTTGCGAAATGGTAGAGAACTGTTTTGTTCAGTTTGACGAGTTCTATCTACACACGAGAGGATTTGTGTGTTGCGCTACGCGGACACCCTGTATATTCAATGTACGTACACATATATTCTATATTAGAAGTTTAAATATTCGTATCTATATATACAAAGAGAATAATTATAGTTTTTTTTTATGTACAAATTCTTTTCAATTTTACTACGTTTTATTTTTGGTAGTGCAGGAATACTCTCTCTCTATCAGTAAGATCCATCTTGCTAAGGAACATAGTAGATTTCGCTAGAAACATAACAAGTGCTTTAATAGTGCATTTCAGTTCCTAAAATATAAGCAGCACATATGAAATGAAAGAATAGTGAATTAATGCAGAGTGTCGATTCCTCAGTTACAATGTTTTATGGTAACTTTTATACAATAAAATTCTCTCCATATAAAGACCAAAACAATAAGAATGTCCAGAGTTCGATATCGATGTTATCAGTGTCCTGATATCGGTACTTTCACCTTAGTGTTTTGTTATATTTTGTATACCTATCTGTGAAATTGATTGACCATACTTTCGCACGAAATTCTGACAACGACGTCGACGTAACCGTCGATTGTTATTGCATCTCAGTGTCCAATTGGACTAGCTGCGAGAAGTTTCAGACGTGCAATCAAACGCTTTTTGAATACTCATCGCGGTATCAAGTAGGAACGAGCAAGAAAATAACGAGATTTCAAATTGCACTTCAATTCCTTTTTCTGAACTCTTGGTTGTTGTATAACACGTTGTGTAATAAGTTAATCGCGCAGCTTGTATACATATTTATATATGTGTATAGATATATTATATATATTGGCACCCCTATATAAATTATTATATCTCTGCGCTACACGTCGCATATTCATACCTCATAGAGTTAACAAACAGATGTATGTATCTATAGAAAGTATACGAAGGAGAAACTCGTCCTTGTACACGTTCGGAATTGAGAGCTTCGGCACGGTGCAAAGCAACGGTGAGCCTGGAATTTCGCGAGAATTACGTTCACTCGTTATTGCTATTGGATTCGAGAAGGAAACAATTACGGCGAAAATAAAACACGAGAGATTCATTTAGAGAAAAACTCAAGATCCGAGTTTACCTTCGTGTCGCGTTTGGCACAATAAAGAGACATTGATGTCCCTCCACTTTCCATGGAGAGAGGTTTCGCGAATTGAAGTGAACTCGTCGTCGTTTCATCGCGCACCCGAGCTCTCAATTATCCTGATTACTTTTACGCCAAATACACAGCACGAGTATATCTAATTTCATTACGACGGCTACTATATACTACGACATTCAGCGGTAGTCGATTTACATCGGCGTAGCTACTGACTGCAACAAGAAGTGGCGTGCTAGTTTTATTATCGTTGCACTCAGTCAGCCGCGTTAATTACTTTCCCTCGAAACGCCTCGCTATTACTGCTATTGTAAAAAATGTGGACGTATAGCTTTCCGTTTTCCTCGATAGAATACGATTGACACACTTCCAACAAGTTAAAATCACCTCCTCTGCCTTATAAGCTAATTAACTTACAGCCTGAATTCGTAATCGCTGTCAACGAACTACGCCGCGCGTCGATTTGACACATGAATAACGACACTTATGCATTATTACTATAGTTATTATTATCGTTATTATTATTATTATTTTGAAATAGTAACACGACCACTATGCAAACGCTTAAATATTTAGCTTAAGTTGAATCGCTCGGGACTCACGAGTTTGGCACGAATAATTTTTTTCGTTCATTCTGAGATCACTCTGAGCCGCTTTTGAACTTTTGATTTTCCTTTTTTTCTTTTTTTTCATAGAAGTTTGATTATTCAGCATTTTCACTTCGGGGAGAAGGAGGAGTATAAAGTTAGAGTAAAGAGTCGATAAAGACAAAGAATTCGATAGAAATTCGCGATAACTGACGGATGTCATTCAAAAAGTGTGTGAACAAACAATAGTGGAAATAGAATTGCGGAAGAATTTAAGAGAAACATTTATGTTTGGACGTTTTGTATTTGAGGGAAGACATTGACATAAGTGGTGTCAATGTGTGCGAAGAATGAGAATATAAAAATGACGAAAATGGAAAAAAAGATCTGAAACAAACTTAGAGAAAAATATAATAATAGCAAAAAAAGCCAGCGAGCTTTATTGTCAATCGATGGAAAATTAAAAAGGACTCAAGAAGATTGCGAGACACATTCGAGAAAACATCATGCGATGACTAAAATAACAGCAAATTTAAGAGAAATTTGGGAATGTAATGCAAATTCTGAACTGCGTTCGGAAATCGTGCATACAGAAAAATGTTATTCTCGCTAAGAAAAGCGAGACTTGGTTTTCTTTCCTTCCTTTAAGTAATGGCTATTCTTTCAACAAAGAACTCTTCTTCATAATAGTCTTAAAATATACTTATCACAAACTTAAGAAAAGTTCATTATCGTGTACTCAAAAGAAAAGAATGTACTTTACAATGAATGAATATTACAAAACTCTATCCAAGACAAAATTGGTTCGACTCTGTATAATAAGCAAACCGAATTTTTGCTTTAATTGAATGTTCTCGATTGAAATTTGTTAGGATTTAGAGTATATTTTTGGCAAAGAGTGATGCCACTGATCCATAGGCCATGTGCCCCATTTCTGTGCAGTGAAAAATGTACTTAAAATGGGCACCAAATTAAAGGCCTTGATGAGTTGATTACAAAGATATAAGTTTTAGAGCCGCCTAGTGTACCGTTTCAGCACTACGGTTCGAAAAAGTTCCAAATTTTAGGCTACTTTCTTTATGTTTTTTTCATTTCATTTCAAAAGTTGAATTTTGTTTAATCTAGCTTTTAAAATAGTTAATCAAAAACAATTTGAATATTTCTGTTTTTTTGTTTTGTGAGTAGGTTAAAGTGCATTTTCCTATGCACTTCATGTTCCAAAATCAACTGGACGTTGATGTTTCAATTGAAATTTTCTACTTCTGATTAGTTTGGAACATGGAATTTATACCATTAAATTCTTCATTTAATTTTATTAAATATAGCATTTTGAATTTTTAAAATGTTTTTAAATGGGGTACATGTTGGCGTCACTCTTTATGCTCGTGATGAATTCACGATAGACTCGCGGATGTATAAAATATACATAATATTAGAAACAAGTAGCAAGTTACTAGAATACAGTATGGATTTTTGTACGTGCAAGCGCGAGAAGAAAAATGAATTACACTTCATACACGCGCACACGATGGGCACGGAGACACGCGCAGCAAACGTAATCGGCGCTCCGGCTGCAGGAGGAAGACACGGCTTGGCGGGAATTTTTGTTAACGGCACGTTAACGTTTTGTTAACGTCATCTAGAAACTTTTGTTCGCCGCGCGAATTGAATTTTACGCGGTCCTGTAGTACGGTCGTACGTGCTGTTAACCACCGGGATGCAACTAGTTCGAGACAGTTTGTGCGCTGAAGTTACCGATTCTAGTAAATGTCTAACGTTAGTGGGATGTCCTTTACACACATACGCGTGCGCACGTATCTCAGTCACTCGCTTATTACTTTAGTATCAACGTGGAAGCTGCAAACTGTGCAGCAGTCTCTCTCCCTTTCCTTTTTTCCTTTTATCTTTGGCAAAGTACGTTACTATCGTCTAATCCGCATGCACAGGGCTGCGAAGGAGAGCTGCCTCATATAAAACAGACACGCGAGTGGAAATCGAAAAGGGCGGAAATTTCTGTTCCTTATTTTATACGTTGGCCTCACACAATTATTTAACGATTATTTGACGTATTTCACGATTATAACAATACCCGGTAGTTTAATAATGCTACTTACTAGGGTCCTCTAGATCGCAAGAAAGCGCGCGGAAATTCAATGAGTGGAATGTCCTTCGCCGGGTCGGCTCCTGTGCATGCGGGCTCGTAGCTAAAAAAGTACTTTCCGCGCTTTTAGTCGTTATTTTGCTACCCAGTTCTCAACATGTGTAATTTGAACTTGTTCGAAAATATAAAACATCTCGTTATCAAAATAAAATATAAATTGGCTATAACGTTGTGTGACGCGGATGTTCACATTCGGCAAATACATAGGAAATATTGATCGCTCTCTCCTTCCTTCCCCGCGCTATCGCATTCTTCCTCGTCTTCCTTCTTTTCACGGAGGGGGAGTTTTACCGATACCGGCGCTTTTTCTTATCACAGCGCGTGCGCACGCGCGCGCGCCGCGAATTTGCACACTTCCGCGCGCGGGAGGAGGAATTTCACGGACGCGCGCGGCAAATTGCGAAACGTAAGCGAATCGAGGATCCCGTGATCCTCGCGATCGAAGGAAGAACGTCGACAAGATATATCTGTCAATTGCAACAACAATAACATTATTATTTCGGCTCGGTGAATTCTGTTTTTGTTTCGTCGAGTCGTTCGTGCCGATCGACTCGACGGCGAACGAGTCGTCGTTCCGTCCAGCCGATCGGGATTCATTTCCGTGGATCACCGCACGTGGCTTGAATCTCACCGCGCGGTCGAGTCAACTGCTAGAAAGAGATTCATCTGTGGCAAGGCGCGCGCTGGATGTCAGGCGACTGGATGGTCTGGTAAGGAAGCTGCGTGTCCCTGAAGTGTGACCGGACGAGCAGGCCAAGACCCAGCAGGACAACTGGAAGACCGAGCAGGGCGCAAATCAGCTCGCCCGTCACCGACGGCGACCAGGAGATGGAACCTGCTTCAGGTTTGTTTCCCTTTAAAAGTGTCTCGGAAAAAATGCTGTTGTGTCAATAGAAATTGCCAACATCGCAGTAAATCTTGATCCAACAGCAATCAAATTGAAGACAATCCATCACATATTGTTTTGATGACTCAGGTATTCGTTTCAATGGCATTGCTGTTGAATCAAGAAGGTTTATGGAAGCGCGCGAATTAACACTTGAGCGTTACAGCCTTAACTTCTGGCGTTTCTATCCCGTCTTGTCAAGATTCCACGAGACGAGTCTGCGTGTAGAAAAGCCGCTACGTCTCATCGACTATATGCATATTTACCGCCGTGTAAACCGATGTCCATCTTGTAGATGCTCCACCAGATGCCGGACAACGGGAGCGACACGGTCGCGACGGCCACGCTGAACACCGCGCTCTCGCATAACGACAAAAAGTTGAGCATTGAGATCGAGAAGACAACGTAAGCGAATAGAAACGTCCATCCATGGCTGGACACGTTCGAGCACAGCTTGCCACCCTTAAAGTGACACACCACACCGTGCTCAACGGTACGGTACAGTTCTACAGGCGACAGACCCTGAAACGTCATTGAAAGACACCACTTGGCTTAAAATGAAGCAAATATTCGCTACGAAGAATTTGTTTTTATCCTCAGACTAAGCAATTAATTATCCTCAGGCAAGCTCTGGGAAATGCAGTTGTTGTCGGAAATCGTTACATAAACGACAACTTCTTACTGGAGACACTCACCCTACCGAAGCCGGGCACTGTGTCGAGCCAGCAGACCGCCAGAATCGCGAAGAAAGCGATGACGTGTATGTAAAAGAGGGTTCGCAGAACCGGCGGCTTGGGGTAGTTTTTCGGTTTTATCGTGGGGTCGGGGTCGGTCACGTGGAGGAGCCGACCGCCCTCCTCTTCGGAGCCGCGACGGCGAATGTCGCGGGAAGACACCAAGCGGGACACCGTGTAGAGGAAAGAATTATGCTGGGTCGTCAACATCTGGCATACATTTTGTTGCTGGAACAAACGCGAAAGATCGTAAAACATCGCTCGCGTCGGCGAGTCCGTCCGTTCGGAAAATCAAAGCGAGAGTCTAAAAAAATTCGCTTGTCAAACGACAAGATTAATCCGTCCAAAAATTCTGCAATAGGGAGAAGTCCCTAGGTTTATACGTAAAGATGCGTCGAAAATTTGAGAAAAAATTCTGATCACTCTGAGAATAAAACAATTCGCGAAAAAATTGAGGTCCCTCTGGGAACAAAATGTGGGAAAATTCCACGAACACTGCGTATCGTTGAATTACCGCGGTGGTGTAGTGCCGCTCGAGCATGGTGAAGAACATAGCGAAAGCAGCGAGACCGCCCACGTAAACGAAAGTCCAGAGCACTCGGATACCCCAGGGTCCCTTCATGGTGGCTGTTGTGTGCGAAGACACCTCCCTTCCGCGACAACGGAATTCGTCGCAGAGACCATAATCGACACTTATGAACAGACCCACTATTATAGTCGTGCTCGAGAATATTCGCTGCAAGCTCATCACTAAAACATTCGAGAGGGGGACACATACAACGTGTCGCGTAGTAAGAATTGTGACATACAGGAAAATGCGAGCAGTAAAGCTCAAGCAGTAAAAAAGTTGACAAATCGATTATACTTGGATTATAATCATCTGTAGTAGAATAATCAATCTTACTGTTTACATTTTTCTATGTGCCATCAGTTTAAACGTACAACTCATGGGAAAAGATTATTCGGCTTAAGAAATTCTAGACAAGAATTATGAGTTAACATCTAACAAATAAATGCCTAGATATGTCTTACGAAAACTCATTGTAGCAATTACCCGAAGCTTGCGACACGTACGTATCCATTCAACACACACACACACACACACACATATACGTATACATATGCGCATTACATTCTATGTCAAGGGGGACTCACTTTTTCGGCAAAAAAAGAAGTAGTAAACGAGGGAGAAGACGAGGGTGATGCCTTTTATCGGGTCCTGCAAGTGACACAGTACTCTGTTTCGATCGAGGGAAAGGCTGATGAAGACTCCCGAAGTGGCGTACAGAAAGCCAATTTTGAGCAGATCGTCGCAGGGTATCTTGACTCGCAGGCTGTTCGGAATCAGCGGCGGTGGCGGTGACACTCTGTCCACGACGAAATACACCACCCCCAGAATGCAGGCGGAGCACAGAGCAGTGAAGAGGAGTCCTGCGGGAATATTATTACGAGATCTACCTGCTGCTGAGGAGCACACTAAATCATTGCAGTTGCGAAGATAATCGAGCAATCATAAGAGATATTCTAATTGTACATGTAATTGCAAATTAAGAGGGATCATGTTTTAATTGCAGCGACACTAAATGACCCGAATCGACAAAATGACTCGTACGTACAGGTACTTCTACGCTTTTAAAAGTGCTTGAAGTAACAACGTTACAGAAGAAGGTGTAATCTCGCAAAGCGTTTGCGTCACACAATCTTTTAATTCGAATGTCAAAGCAGATTTCCAGGTAATTTTGGAAATGACAAGTGCGCGAGAGCCGCGCGATGAGAACGGAATCGTGGCATATGGCGAGCTCTCTCACGGATATAAATAAATCGTTTGCCGTAATTGTGACGATCTCGAGATTTTGAGCGATGAGAGGTCTCGCAAGATTGACATTTGATATCTCTAATCTCGTAATCCATCGTGTCACGTGAATTCTCGTCGAGAGCACGGGCGCGCTTAATTCGGTATTACGGAATAATTTCGATATTACGTCAACGTATGCGCTCCCCTGACTAACTGATGCAAGCTCGACCGTTTATTTCGGCTTCGCCCTGTTGTAAGCTACCTGTGTAAGCGCTGGAGACAGCGCCAACGCTCTCGAGATAAAGCGGATAGCTGATAACGAGGACGGTAACTGATACCGCGACGGACACCAGGCTCGCCAGGAAGCGGAACTTCTGCCAGTTCTCGCGGTCGGTATCGAACAGCTTATCACCGGCTTGATAAGCGACATATGGCGATTCCTCGGTGTCGGTGTACTCCTCAATCTCGACGTCACTCCCCGTGCAACGGAGCTCCTCTTGCTCCTCATCGTCCATCATCGTCGACACGCAGCTCGTTAGGCCCGCCAGCTTTGCGACTGTCTCTTCCGTTATTCTATCGAAACAAGAACGTCGTATCTTCTGAAGTACAATTAGTTCTAAAGTACTATCGGTATATTCTTCATTGAAATGCTATGCCTGTAACCGACGGCTCAGTTATAAGTGTAGCATCGCAATCAATAAGATCTCGTTGAAAGAATCAGTTGATAGCAGTTTCTATTATTGATGCAGTTTGCAGACACAGACAGTGCCATTGCAAGCAAATCCCATAGAAGCCGATAGTTCCCTAGTCAGAAACGCAGAAGGTTGAATCTGATACAACGAATTTGTGATGCACAGATTTGGCAGTGAAATCTTTCTACCACTGATCAAAGTCAGCGAAATATAAGATGGAGCAGTGAAGTGGGAATGTTTTCACCGAAAATCCATGACTACTCACGGATTATCGGCGAAATGCTCCTTTAATTGGTTTAATCAAAAACATTCTTACTTATTCACTCTGAGAGAATAATCTATTATTTCATGCAATAGCACTCCTTGCGACGTTTGCGGAGGAAACATATTTTTTACTAACCAAAAATAATTCCCTCGCGACATTTTCTCTATGGGGTGTTTTTAAAAACGGTCAATTGATTCTTGCAAACACATCGTAGGAGTGACATTTGAAGCTCTTACACCGTGATGAGGTCTGCTAAATCGAGTAAAATCCTTCAATGTAACAAACGACCTCTTCATCATGTTACTTTTTATGCATTTCTTATTATATATTTTATATATGTTTCTCGCGAAAATAACGTTAAAACGACATTGAAAAATACACTCTATATTTGCTTCCTGTAAAAATAACAATACGTGGATGCACAAAGTTATGAGTCTTTCGATACTAAATTAACTGTGAATTGATATTCTTATTCATACAACTATACTCCCCGGATAAAAGAAAAGTTTATTTTATACGCTGAGGGGACACCCACACTGATGCCGCTGCACTTTACACCCTCGGAGGGTGAAGGAGAAAGACAAAGAGGACGAGAATGCGCGAGTACAGCGGTCTTACGGAGCGCGGATCGCTCCGTAAGAAAAGCGCAACGTAAACAACGCGGCACCTGTCATCGAAAGAGAGAGAGAACCGCTCCTGTCAAGGTCGCTTAGCGCTGATAAACGTCTACTAATTTGCCCCTCCCCTTGCACCATCACTTACATTATGATATACTACTGTCTCCCAGTAACGGAGTAACGGGAAATCAATCAAAGGATGATGGAGGTTAATCGACGTCGCTTAAATCGGCCCATGGGCCTGTGGTGGTGTCAAACTCACCCTTCACGAAAACCTAACCTGCCAGCGCCCACCTTCGGAGAGCAGACGCCTGTCCCAGGTGTCACGGCCCGTCGTGTTTCTTCTGCAAATGCCCGGCGTGCTCAGTTACACCATCGGCGACAACGACAAACAGCAACGATGACGAAGACGACGACGACGACGATGACGATAACAGAACGCGGTGCGCGTTAATCACAAATGCTTGTGTGGCGGCGATAAGGCGAGCCAGCAGAAAACGCGACTTCATCCCATCGTGAGTGACGACGAGGAGCGCCTCTTCGTTGCGGCCTCCGTCGCCGCCAGGCTGACGCCAGGGCCGTACTCGGAGACGGCGGTGATGGTGGAGGCGACGTAGACGGTGGTATGGGCGACGAGGTGATCGTGGAAGAGAGGAGAGATGTTCGGGGAAGACGGACGGAAACAGGAGAGTCGACAGGAAATTTCACGGGGAAATCTGCACGACAAATCTCCTAGTTGTTTGCGATAATATTGACGTCACGTTTTATCTGCCACTCGAAATACATCGACGGCCCGTTTACGAGGGATGACGGCGTCGTTCTCGGCCCTGCACTCGCGCATGAGCGTGAGGTAGCGTTCGACGCAAGCCACGACGTTGCGCCTCGCTCTGAATTAATTCCGAAAATTCTGAATTATTCGTCGTGCAATATTGAGAGTAACGCGATGTCAGGGGCACGGAGTACGTTACATTACTCTTCCAATTTAACCGACCCTACCCGCTGGCATTAATCATTATTTGCGACGATTTTTGCTTATGACATCCGATGTACACTGCACGTCGCCGGTAAAAATGAGAGCTGCGAGACACTCGCTGATTATAATTGATTGAATTTCTTGCCGAAGGAATTCGCAGGTTTCGCTTGAAAATTGACAAAATACGGCGGAATTAAATTCTCAAATATCTGTTAACACCCCAATCAGTCTCTCTCTCTCTTTCTTTCTCTCTCTCTCTCTCTCTCTCTCTCTCTCTCTCTCTCACTGCTTCCCCCTCTGTTGCTTTGAGAAGATCCTTTCCTTCCCTTTTCTCGACTAGAAATTTGTCCCATAGTTCTGATCAGGTTGATTTCAGTCTGTTGTTTGTTTTGTTAAAATGGTGTTAACAAGTCTGATAAGTCATGACAATTAGGATTTTATTAATAATAAGGATTATGAATAATTAGGACTCCGATAACATCATCTTGTACAAAATCTTGTACAAAACAGATAACTGATCAGAATCGACAATCAGAACTATAAAATCAGTTTCTAGTCGAGTTAGTTTCTAAATATATTTGATAACTGAACATAGTTTATTTAGATATTCCGAAATGGATTATTAATAATTGGGACTTGATAACATTAGCTTATATAAACCAGATAATTAATTAGTCTCGATCAACCTGTTCAAGACCATGAGATTCATTTGTAGTCGGGTTTATACCTAAATATATATATATATATATATATATATATATATATATATATATATATATATATAT